ACTTAGAAAGAACAATCCACGAGTAGATGTTCCTAGAAAGTATCGAATGATGCGACGAACAACCACCAAGTGGAGATGACGGGGAGCTTGCATAAATTGACTAACTTGTTGAACTGCAAAAGAGATATCAGGCCGAGTAATAGTAAGGTAATTTAGACTCCCAACTAATTGTCGAAATATAGTTGGATCGGGAAGAAGATTGCCTTCCTCACGACGATACTTGACATTCATTTCCAGTGGAGTATCTACGGAGGAGGAAACTTGAAGACCAGCCAAAGAAATCAGATCCTGAGTATATTTGTGTTGGTTTAGAAATACACCTGAAGCAACATTATGAACTTCCAAACCCAAAAAATAAGTAAGAGTACCAAGATCTTTCATATGAAAAGAATCTTTAAGTTGTTGTTGGAGGCAAGTGATTAGTGAAGAATCACTTCCTGTGATAATAATGTCATCTACATACACCAAAAGAACAACACAACTTGTAGATGTTTTCCGAAGAAACAAAAATGAGTCATATTTGCTCTGCTCAAAAGAAAATTGTAGCAAAGTAGACCGGAACTTATCAAACCAAGCTTTTGGAGCTTGTTTTAATCCATACAAAGACCGCTTCAACTTGCATACATCTTATGTAGGCGATGAGAACAAACCAGGTGGAGGTTTCATATAAATATCTTCTTTAAGATCACCATGGAGAAAAACATTTTTGACATCCATTTGATAAAGAGACCGGTTTTGTGAAGCAGCAATGGCAATAATAGTTCGTACCGTAGTCATTTTGGCTACGGGTGCAAAAGTCTCCTCATAGTCCACCCCATACTCTTGTCTGTTACCAAGAACAACCAATCGAGCTTTGTACCGATCAAGAGTTCCATCAAAATGAAGTTTGATTGAATAAGCCCACTTACATCCAATAGGGCGGACATTGAAGGACATGAAACAATGTCCCATGTGTCATTTTCTTTAACAGCCAAAAGTTCTTCCTCCATTGCTTTCTGCCAACATTCATGCTTGGAAGCTTATGAGTAACAAGATGGAACAGATATGTTGGATAAAGTAGAGGAAAAGCCATACCAATTGGGAGTACGAGATACTCTTGTAGATCGCTGAGTAGGCTCAAGAGGACTAGATCTTGAAGAATTCTCAGATTCTAGTTGTGGTGCAGTTTCAGGCGGCGGATCAGTGTCGGGATAGGGTAAAGTTGGCCGACGTCGTTCATACACAAATCCAGGTTTGAACCTCTTAAAAGAAGATGATAAATCCTCAAAAGTAGGAAGAAGAGGAGAAACAGAAGATGAATCTACAATCGTAGGAAAGAAATACGTATTCTCAAAGAAAACAACATTTCTAGAAATACGAAATTTGTGAGAACATGGATCATAACAAATAAAACTTTTTTGTGAAGTACTATAACCCATAAAAGCACATTTAGTAGATTGTACAGAAAGTTTATTGCGTTGCGAAGGAGGCAAATGCACGAAACAAACACAACCAAATGTATGACAATCACTATAGTTAGGATTTTGGTGATAAAGACGAAAATATGGAGACTCAAGATTTAGCACTTTAGATGGCAATCTATTAATTAAATAGACAGCAGTAGACAAAGCTTCCACCCAATATTTAGATGGTACAAATGACTCAATCAATAAAGTACGAGTGACATCTAAAAGATGTCGATTTTTTCGCTCAGCAACTCCATTTTGTTGTGGTGTATATGGGCAAGAGTGTTGTGAGACAATCCCTTTGTTAAGCAAGAATTTTTTGAATTCATAAGACATATATTCTCCACCAAAATCAGATCTTAATAATTTGATGCATGTAGAAAATTGAGTCTCAATGTAAGCCAAAAATGTCTTGAACATGGAAGATACCTCAGATTTGGATCGAAGAAAATACACCCATGTAAACCGACTATAATCGTCTATGAATGTCACAAAGTATTTGAAATGAGCAGGAGAAATAATTGATGAAATTCCCCAAACATCACTATGAATGACATCAAAACACTTTGTAGCACGACTACCAAAATTAGGAAAAGGAAGAGTTTTACTTTTGCCTAATTTACAAGTAGAACAATCAATGGAAGCAACTGAAAATTTATTTTTATTTTCCAATAAACCAGAATTTGATAAATGAGACAACACAACAGAATTTGGATGTCCTAGACGCTTATGCCAAACCTCAGTTTTACTAGCAGTAGAAGTACAAGCAAAAGATAGAACATGAGGAATGGAAAAGTGTATTGGAAACAATCGTCCAACTTTAGGCCCCTTCGCGATTATCGTCCCCGACACCTGATCCTGGACAAGACAACCATTACAAGAAAAATTCACATCACAATTGTTATCTACCAATTGTCCAACTGAAATAAGACTAGTTGAGAGCTTTGGTGAAACAGAAACATTCTTGAAAGTTGGAGTAATGTCCCCAACCTTGGTAATGGGTAAATTACTACCATTGGCAATCTGTATTTGTGATGGACCTTGATACTTACGAACATTTTTTAGGATGCTCGTTGAGTTGTTCATATGATTGGAAGCACCTAAATCAACAATCCAAAAATTAGATGTAGCATCATTACCTTGTAATCCCAATACTGAAAAGGCTGACACGATCAGTTGTACCATTTCAGGAGTAAGAACTTGTCCTGAAGATGAGTTATCATCAGTGGAACCATTTATCCTAGCTTGAAAAGCATTGATCCTATGATTTTGAGGGCGCGTGGGACACTCTTTGATAATGTGTCCTTGTTGTTTACAATAATTACAGAACTTCTTGCTACAATTGCTAGCAATATGACCATATTCCTTGCAACTGTAGCATTGAGTTCTACTCATTTCCCTGCCCTTTCCTTTACCTTGAGCAGCAAATGCAACAGTGACATCATTTTCTTTCTTAAAAGCATTTTGTGTGACAAGACGTTTCTCTTCATGAAGTAATTCCCTAAAGCAAACATCCAAAGAGGGAGACGGATCACGATTCATCAAGTTAGAGCGAACACTCTCAAAGTCAGAGCGTAATTTCATCAAAAATTGGTCTCGCTTGCTTTGCTCATGAACTGGCTGAATCACTGATAGGGATTCAGTAGGTATTTTGGCATAGACAATATTTGTAAATTCAGCCCATAAGTTTTGAAATCCAGAAAAATAATCCTGAACAGAAAGACCTCCTTGAGAGTAATTAGCAATTTCATACTCCAACTGAAAGCGTCTTGCGGTATTATCTTGGTTGTAAACCTTTTGTAAGTAATCCCACATGGCCTTAGCTGTCTTGTATGGCCTGAGATTAAGAACAATAAGAGGGTCAATTGACCCTAGAATCCATGTCATCACCCGAGCATCTTTAATCTTCCATTCACCTAGCTTTGTTACATCAGTAGGAGTAGGATCGCTTCCATCTATATGGCCCCATAGTTCTTTGCCGGTGACAAACAACTGAAATTGAAACTCCCAAGAAGAAGAATTTTTTCCAGTGAAACGAATACTGAAGGATTCAAAGTGATGTGAATTCATGCTTTTGAATAGCTATAAAACTACAAAGACTCAAGAAAGAAACTAGAATGACCAAGAACAAAATTCCCAGGAGGGAGCCAAAAACCAAGATTTTCAAAAAAATTAAAAGGAACCACAAATGACTCTATGAAACAAGACAGCCAAGAGAAGGCTCTAATACCATGTCAATTTTCAGCTGAATGCCTCTTAAAGTGAGAGAGTCTTTCCATTATATAGAGAAAATAAAGATTACACATCCCTAAGGATCCGCCATTCCTATCCCTAAAGATCAGCTATTCTATCTATACAAATCTGCCATTGAATCTCTCTAAATCTCCCTTGCTATCCCTCCAAATCAGCTATTCTATCACAATATTTATTCATATGATTCTACAACAAACGTATATGATCATGCTAATTTATATCACTATATAATTACATTAATATATACAATCATTTAGTTGTATATCATGCTAACAATTTCATCATCCATTCTCTACCGATTATATGTAGTATGTTTCAAGATTTCAACTGGAAATCTGAAATGGCTCGCGAGAATCATTGAAGAATTGGAACACAAAATTATTATGCAGAGGAAAGAAGAAGAAGCAAATTAATGTATTATTCAACGAAGAAGTTTATGCATTTCTTTTTAATCTTGTTTTCTTTTTTAGGGAATTTATTTTCTATATGATAGTCTTTTTTACTTGAAAAAAGATGTGTAGCACATGGATAAAAAAAGGAAGAGAAACAAAAAAAAAACTAGCCTTGACAATGACAGATTTTGTCTAATAAAATATGAACAGACAAAGTGTGAATACGACTATATAAAATAAAATATGATGATTATTTCAACATTAACCAAAATAATTCCTTATTGGTTTAAAATTTATATATTGACTCTGATATTAAAAAAAGGCAATGGGTCGGTTCACTCTCTCAAATGGGTCAAATCATTGTGGTGGGTTGTTAAAAATGGATAGTATATTACCAATAGTTGAGTAACCATATGAGAAATTAATAACTTCTGCTACATGAATTTTCATAACTTGGGTGTTACCTAAACTCATTTCAATCTAGTACAAAGTTTATTAGAAATAGTAATACAGTGTAGAAATTCATTTATCTAAGATTGAATACGTCTACTACATTAGAGGTGAAAAATGAGAACCAAACATATATACATCATAAACCATGTGATCTTGTCTGATAACACAACAAAATTATTTGGTTAAGTCCTTGTCTGAATTAAAATTTATTTTCTGTATGATAGCTTTGTAGGTGTATAACATGCATAAAAAAAGAAGAAGACAAAAAAGAACAACTCAAAATTTAACTTTTGCATTGACTTGAGAATGCATGACAATATTTTCTTTGATATAATATGAACATAAAGAGAGAGAGATCAGCTGAAATTTGGTCTTTAACGATAAGTTAGGTACAATATAAAATCCTATGAACCCTCCACAATTAGTTAATTGAAATCCAAAATAATAAACTCAAAATATGATGATGATTCCAAGCAAAATATTCTCTCTACTTCAGTTTTTCACTCTTTTATATCTCCTTACAGTTACTTTTGCTTCCGTCGAGGAAGCAACTTCCCTCCTGAAATGGAAAGCAACTTTCAAGAATCAGAACAACTCCTTATTAGCTTCATGGACACCAAGTTCTAACTCATGCAGGGATTGGTATGGAGTTATATGCTTTAACGGTAGGGTAAACAAGTTGAATATTTCAAATACTAGTGTAATTGGTACACTAGATGACTTTCCATTTTCATCTCTTCCTTTTCTTGAGTATCTTGATCTTAGCATGAACAACTTCTCCGGCATCATTCCACCTGAAATTGGTAAACTCATTAGTCTTATCTGTTTTGATCTATCAAGTAATCAGATTTCAGGCACAGTCCCACCACAAATCGGCTCACTAGCCAAGCTTCAAATCCTCCATATGTTTGACAACCATTTAAATGGTTTCATTCCTGAAGAAATAGGTCATCTAAGGTCTCTTACTAAGCTAGATTTAAGTTCTAACACTCTTGATGGTTCTATTCCAACTTCACTGGGGAATTTGAACAACTTATCCCTTTTAAATCTGTATGAAAATCAGCTTTCTGGCTCCATACCTGAAGAAATAGGTAACTTAAGGTCACTTACTAAGCTAGTTTTGTACAAGAACTCACTTAATGGTTCTATTCCTGCTTCATTGGGGAAATTGAACAACTTGTCTATTATGTATATTAATGATAATTACCTTTCTGGCTCCATTCCTGCAGAAATAGGTAACCTAAGGTTACTTACTACGTTAAGTTTGTGGAATAACTCTCTTAATGGTTCTATTCCAGCTTCATTGAGGAATTTGAACAACTTGTCCCTTTTGTATATCAATAATAATCACCTTTCTGGTTCCATTCCTGAAGAAATAGGTTACCTAAGGTCTCTTACTCAGATAGATTTGGGTACTAACTCTCTTAATGGTTCTATTCCGGCTTCATTGGGGAACTTGAACAACTTGTCCCTTTTGTATCTGCATGAAAATCAGCTTTCTGGCTCCATACCTGAAGAAATAGGTAACCTAAGGTCACTTACTAAACTAGTTTTGTACAAGAACTCACTTAATGGTTCTATTCCTGCTTCATTGGGGAAATTGAACAACTTGTCTATTTTGTATATTAATGATAATTACCTTTCTGGCTCCATTCCTGCAGAAATAGGTAACCTAAGGTTACTTGCTACGTTAAGTTTGTGGAATAACTCTCTTAACGGTTCTATTCCAGCTTCATTAAGGAATTTGAACAACTTGTCCCTTTTGTATATCAATAATAATCACCTTTCTGGTTCCATTCCTGAAGAAATAGGTTACCTAAGGTCTCTTACTCAGATAGATTTGGGTACTAACTCTCTTAATGGTTCTATTCCGGCTTCATTGGGGAACTTGAACAACTTGTCCCTTTTGTATCTGCATGAAAATCAGCTTTCTGGCTCCATACCTGAAGAAATAGGTAACCTAAGGTCACTTACTAAACTAGTTTTGTACAAGAACTCACTTAATGGTTCTATTCCTGCTTCATTGGGAAATTTGAACAATTTGTCCCTTTTGTATATTAATGAAAATCAGCTTTCTGGCTCCATTCCTGAAGAAATAGGTTACCTAAGGTCTCTTACTCAAATATATTTGGGCACTAACTCTCTTAATGGTTCTATTCCGCCTTCATTGGGGAACTTGAACAGCTTGACTATTTTGTCTCTGCATGAAAATCAGCTTTCTGGCTCTATTCCTAAAGAAATAGGTTACCTAAGGTCTCTTACTCAAATATATTTGGGCACTAACTCTCTTAATGGTTCTATTCCGCCTTCATTGGGGAACTTGAACAACTTGACTATTTTCTCTCTGCATGAAAATCAGCTTTCTGGCTCCATACCTGAAGAAATAGGTTACATGAGGTCTCTTACTAAGCTGGATTTGAGTTCTAACTCTCTTAATGGTTCTATTCCTTCTTCATTGGGGAATTTGAAAAACCTTTCTATTATGTATCTTCCTCGTAATCACCTTTCTAGGTCCATTCCTGAAGAAATCGGTTATCTAAGGTCTCTTACTGAGCTACATTTGGGCATGAACTCTCTTAATGGTTCTATTCCAGCTTCATTTGGGAACTTGAACAACTTGTCCCTTTTGTATATCAATAATAATCACCTTTTTGGTTCCATTCCTGAAGAAATAGGTTACCTAAGGTCTCTTACTCAGATAGATTTGGGTACTAACTCTCTTAATGGTTTTATTCCGGCTTCATTGGGGAACTTGAACAATTTGTCCCTTTTGTATCTGCATGAAAATCAGCTTTCTGGCTCCATACCTGAAGAAATAGGTAACCTAAGGTCACTTACTAAACTAGTTTTGTACAAGAACTCACTTAATGGTTCTATTCCTGCTTCATTGGGAAATTTGAACAATTTGACCCTTTTGTATATTAATGAAAATCAGCTTTCTGGCTCCATTCCTGAAGAAATAGGTTACCTAAGGTCTCTTACTCAAATATATTTGGGCACTAACTCTCTTAATGGTTCTATTCCGCCTTCATTGGGGAACTTGAACAGTTTGACTATTTTGTCTCTGCATGAAAATCAGCTTTCTGGCTCCATACCTGAAGAAATAGGTTACATGAGGTCTCTTACTAAGCTGGATTTGAGTTCTAACTCTCTTAATGGTTCTATTCCTTCTTCATTGGGGAATTTGAAAAACCTGTCTATTATGTATCTTCCTCGTAATCACCTTTCTGGGTCCATTCCTGAAGAAATCGGTTATCTAAGGTCTCTTACTGAGCTACATTTGGGCATGAACTCTCTTAATGGTTCTATTCCAGCTTCATTTGGGAATTTGAACAACTTGTCCCTTTTGTATATCAATAATAATCACCTTTCTGGTTCCATTCCTGAAGAAATAGGTTACCTAAGGTCTCTTACTCAGATAGATTTGGGTACTAACTCTCTTAATGGTTCTATTCCGGCTTCATTGGGGAACTTGAACAACTTGTCCCTTTTGTATCTGCATGAAAATCAGCTTTCTGGCTCCATACCTGAAGAAATAGGTAACCTAAGGTCACTTACTAAACTAGTTTTGTACAAGAACTCACTTAATGGTTCTATTCCTGCTTCATTGGGAAATTTGAACAATTTGTCCCTTTTGTATATTAATGAAAATCAGCTTTCTGGCTCCATTCCTGAAGAAATAGGTTACCTAAGGTCTCTTACTCAAATATATTTGGGCACTAACTCTCTTAATGGTACTATTCCGCCTTCATTGGGGAACTTGAACAGCTTGACTACTTTGTCTCTGCATGAAAATCAGCTTTCTGGCTCCATTCCTGAAGAAATAGGTTACCTAAGGTCTCTTACTCAAATATATTTGGGCACTAACTCTCTTAATGGTTCTATTCCGTCTTCATTGGGGAACTTGAACAGCTTGACTATTTTGTCTCTGCATGAAAATCAGCTTGCTGGCTCCACACCTGAAGAAATAGGTTACATGAGGTCTCTTACTAAGCTGGATTTCAGTTCTAACTCTCTTAATGGTTCTATTCCTTCTTCATTGGGGAATTTGAAAAACCTTTCTATTATGTATCTTCCTCGTAATCACCTTTCTGGGTCCATTCCTGAAGAAATCGGTTACCTAAGGTCACTTACTAAACTAGTTTTGTACAAGAACTCACTTAATGGTTCTATTCCTGCTTCATTGGGAAATTTGAACAATTTGACCCTTTTGTATATTAATGAAAATCAGCTTTCTGGCTCCATTCCTGAAGAAATAGGTTACCTAAGGTCTCTTACTCAAATATATTTGGGCACTAACTCTCTTAATGGTTCTATTCCGCCTTCATTGGGGAACTTGAACAGCTTGACTATTTTGTCTCTGCATGAAAATCAGCTTGCTGGCTCCACACCTGAAGAAATAGGTTACATGAGGTCTCTTACTAAGCTGGATTTGAGTTCTAACTCTCTTAATGGTTCTATTCCTTCTTCATTGGGGAATTTGAAAAACCTTTCTATTATGTATCTTCCTCGTAATCACCTTTCTGGGTCCATTCCTGAAGAAATCGGTTATCTAAGGTCTCTTACTGAGCTACATTTGGGCATGAACTCTCTTAATGGTTCTATTCCAGCTTCATTTGGGAATTTGAACAACTTGTCCCTTTTGTATATCAATAATAATCACCTTTCTGGTTCCATTCCTGAAGAAATAGGTTACCTAAGGTCTCTTACTCAGATAGATTTGGGTACTAACTCTCTTAATGGTTCTATTCCGGCTTCATTGGGGAACTTGAACAACTTGTCCCTTTTGTATCTGCATGAAAATCAGCTTTCTGGCTCCATACCTGAAGAAATAGGTAACCTAAGGTCACTTACTAAACTAGTTTTGTACAAGAACTCACTTAATGGTTCTATTCCTGCTTCATTGGGAAATTTGAACAATTTGTCCCTTTTGTATATTAATGAAAATCAGCTTTCTGGCTCCATTCCTGAAGAAATATGTTACCTAAGGTCACTTACTAAACTAGTTTTGTACAAGAACTCACTTAATGGTTCTATTCCTGCTTCATTGGGAAATTTGAACAATTTGACCCTTTTGTATATTAATGAAAATCAGCTTTCTGGCTCCATTCCTGAAGAAATAGGTTACCTAAGGTCTCTTACTCAAATATATTTGGGCACTAACTCTCTTAATGGTTCTATTCCGCCTTCATTGGGGAACTTGAACAGCTTGACTATTTTGTCTCTGCATGAAAATCAGCTTGCTGGCTCCACACCTGAAGAAATAGGTTACATGAGGTCTCTTACTAAGCTGGATTTGAGTTCTAACTCTCTTAATGGTTCTATTCCTTCTTCATTGGGGAATTTGAAAAACCTTTCTATTATGTATCTTCCTCGTAATCACCTTTCTGGGTCCATTCCTGAAGAAATCGGTTATCTAAGGTCTCTTACTGAGCTACATTTGGGCATGAACTCTCTTAATGGTTCTATTCCAGCTTCATTTGGGAATTTGAACAACTTGTCCCTTTTGTATATCAATAATAATCACCTTTCTGGTTCCATTCCTGAAGAAATAGGTTACCTAAGGTCTCTTACTCAGATAGATTTGGGTACTAACTCTCTTAATGGTTCTATTCCGGCTTCATTGGGGAACTTGAACAACTTGTCCCTTTTGTATCTGCATGAAAATCAGCTTTCTGGCTCCATACCTGAAGAAATAGGTAACCTAAGGTCACTTACTAAACTAGTTTTGTACAAGAACTCACTTAATGGTTCTATTCCTGCTTCATTGGGAAATTTGAACAATTTGTCCCTTTTGTATATTAATGAAAATCAGCTTTCTGGCTCCATTCCTGAAGAAATATGTTACCTAAGGTCACTTACTAAACTAGTTTTGTACAAGAACTCACTTAATGGTTCTATTCCTGCTTCATTGGGAAATTTGAACAATTTGACCCTTTTGTATATTAATGAAAATCAGCTTTCTGGCTCCATTCCTGAAGAAATAGGTTACCTAAGGTCTCTTACTCAAATATATTTGGGCACTAACTCTCTTAATGGTTCTATTCCGCCTTCATTGGGGAACTTGAACAGCTTGACTATTTTGTCTCTGCATGAAAATCAGCTTGCTGGCTCCACACCTGAAGAAATAGGTTACATGAGGTCTCTTACTAAGCTGGATTTGAGTTCTAACTCTCGTAATGGTTCTATTCCTTCTTCATTGGGGAATTTGAAAAACCTTTCTATTATGTATCTTCCTCGTAATCACCTTTCTGGGTCCATTCCTGAAGAAATCGGTTATCTAAGGTCTCTTACTGAGCTACATTTGGGCATGAACTCTCTTAATGGTTCTATTCCAGCTTCATTTGGGAATTTGAACAACTTGTCCCTTTTGTATATCAATAATAATCACCTTTCTGGTTCCATTCCTGAAGAAATAGGTTACCTAAGGTCTCTTACTCAGATAGATTTGGGTACTAACTCTCTTAATGGTTCTATTCCGGCTTCATTGGGGAACTTGAACAACTTGTCCCTTTTGTATCTGCATGAAAATCAGCTTTCTGGCTCCATACCTGAAGAAATAGGTAACCTAAGGTCACTTACTAAACTAGTTTTGTACAAGAACTCACTTAATGGTTCTATTCCTGCTTCATTGGGAAATTTGAACAATTTGTCCCTTTTGTATATTAATGAAAATCAGCTTTCTGGCTCCATTCCTGAAGAAATAGGTTACCTAAGGTCTCTTACTCAAATATATTTGGGCACTAACTCTCTTAATGGTTCTATTCCGCCTTCATTGGGGAACTTGAACAGCTTGACTACTTTGTCTCTGCATGAAAATCAGCTTTCTGGCTCCATTCCTGAAGAAATAGGTTACCTAAGGTCTCTTACTCAAATATATTTGGGCACTAACTCTCTTAATGGTTCTATTCCGCCTTCATTGGGGAACTTGAACAGCTTGACTATTTTGTCTCTGCATGAAAATCAGCTTGCTGGCTCCACACCTGAAGAAATAGGTTACATGAGGTCTCTTACTAAGCTGGATTTGAGTTCTAACTCTCGTAATGGTTCTATTCCTTCTTCATTGGGGAATTTGAAAAACCTTTCTATTATGTATCTTCCTCGTAATCACCTTTCTGGGTCCATTCCTGAAGAAATCGGTTATCTAAGGTCTCTTACTGAGCTACATTTGGGCATGAACTCTCTTAATGGTTCTATTCCATCTTCATTTGGGAATTTGAACAACTTGTCCCTTTTGTATATCAATAATAATCACCTTTCTGGTTCCATTCCTGAAGAAATAGGTTACCTAAGGTCTCTTACTCAGATAGATTTGGGTACTAACTCTCTTAATGGTTCTATTCCGGCTTCATTGGGGAACTTGAACAACTTGTCCCTTTTGTATCTGCATGAAAATCAGCTTTCTGGCTCCATACCTGAAGAAATAGGTAACCTAAGGTCACTTACTAAACTAGTTTTGTACAAGAACTCACTTAATGGTTCTATTCCTGCTTCATTGGGAAATTTGAACAATTTGTCCCTTTTGTATATTAATGAAAATCAGCTTTCTGGCTCCATTCCTGAAGAAATAGGTTACCTAAGGTCTCTTACTCAAATATATTTGGGCACTAACTCTCTTAATGGTTCTATTCCGCCTTCATTGGGGAACTTGAACAGCTTGACTACTTTGTCTCTGCATGAAAATCAGCTTTCTGGCTCCATTCCTGAAGAAATAGGTTACCTAAGGTCTCTTACTCAAATATATTTGGGCACTAACTCTCTTAATGGTTCTATTCCGCCTTCATTGGGGAACTTGAACAGCTTGACTATTTTGTCTCTGCATGAAAATCAGCTTGCTGGCTCCACACCTGAAGAAATAGGTTACATGAGGTCTCTTACTAAGCTGGATTTGAGTTCTAACTCTCGTAATGGTTCTATTCCTTCTTCATTGGGGAATTTGAAAAACCTTTCTATTATGTATCTTCCTCGTAATCACCTTTCTGGGTCCATTCCTGAAGAAATCGGTTATCTAAGGTCTCTTACTGAGCTACATTTGGGCATGAACTCTCTTAATGGTTCTATTCCAGCTTCATTTGGGAATTTGAACAACTTGTCCCTTTTGTATATCAATAATAATCACCTTTCTGGTTCCATTCCTGAAGAAATAGGTTACCTAAGGTCTCTTACTCAGATAGATTTGGGTACTAACTCTCTTAATGGTTCTATTCCGGCTTCATTGGGGAACTTGAACAACTTGTCCCTTTTGTATCTGCATGAAAATCAGCTTTCTGGCTCCATACCTGAAGAAATAGGTAACCTAAGGTCACTTACTAAACTAGTTTTGTACAAGAACTCACTTAATGGTTCTATTCCTGCTTCATTGGGAAATTTGAACAATTTGTCCCTTTTGTATATTAATGAAAATCAGCTTTCTGGCTCCATTCCTGAAGAAATAGGTTACCTAAGGTCTCTTACTCAAATATATTTGGGCACTAACTCTCTTAATGGTTCTATTCCGCCTTCATTGGGGAACTTGAACAGCTTGACTACTTTGTCTCTGCATGAAAATCAGCTTTCTGGCTCCATTCCTGAAGAAATAGGTTACCTAAGGTCTCTTACTCAAATATATTTGGGCACTAACTCTCTTAATGGTTCTATTCCGCCTTCATTGGGGAACTTGAACAGCTTGACTATTTTGTCTCTGCATGAAAATCAGCTTGCTGGCTCCACACCTGAAGAAATAGGTTACATGAGGTCTCTTACTAAGCTGGATTTGAGTTCTAACTCTCGTAATGGTTCTATTCCTTCTTCATTGGGGAATTTGAAAAACCTTTCTATTATGTATCTTCCTCGTAATCACCTTTCTGGGTCCATTCCTGAAGAAATCGGTTATCTAAGGTCTCTTACTGAGCTACATTTGGGCATGAACTCTCTTAATGGTTCTATTCCATCTTCATTTGGGAATTTGAACAACTTGTCCCTTTTGTATATCAATAATAATCACCTTTCTGGTTCCATTCCTGAAGAAATAGGTTACCTAAGGTCTCTTACTCAGATAGATTTGGGTACTAACTCTCTTAATGGTTCTATTCCGGCTTCATTGGGGAACTTGAACAACTTGTCCCTTTTGTATCTGCATGAAAATCAGCTTTCTGGCTCCATACCTGAAGAAATAGGTAACCTAAGGTCACTTACTAAACTAGTTTTGTACAAGAACTCACTTAATGGTTCTATTCCTGCTTCATTGGGAAATTTGAACAATTTGTCCCTTTTGTATATTAATGAAAATCAGCTTTCTGGCTCCATTCCTGAAGAAATAGGTTACCTAAGGTCTCTTACTCAAATATATTTGGGCACTAACTCTCTTAATGGTTCTATTCCGCCTTCATTGGGGAACTTGAACAGCTTGACTACTTTGTCTCTGCATGAAAATCAGCTTTCTGGCTCCACACCTGAAGAAATAGGTTACCTAAGGTCTCTTACTCAAATATATTTGGGCACTAACTCTCTTAATGGTTCTATTCCGCCTTCATTGGGGAACTTGAACAGCTTGACTATTTTGTCTCTGCATGAAAATCAGCTTGCTGGCTCCACACCTGAAGAAATAGGTTACATGAGGTCTCTTACTAAGCTGGATTTGAGTTCTAACTCTCGTAATGGTTCTATTCCTTCTTCATTGGGGAATTTGAAAAACCTTTCTATTATGTATCTTCCTCGTAATCACCTTTCTGGGTCCATTCCTGAAGAAATCGGTTATCTAAGGTCTCTTACTGAGCTACATTTGGGCATGAACTCTCTTAATGGTTCTATTCCATCTTCATTTGGGAATTTGAACAACTTGTCCCTTTTGTATATCAATAATAATCACCTTTCTGGTTCCATTCCTGAAGAAATAGGTTACCTAAGGTCTCTTACTCAGATAGATTTGGGTACTAACTCTCTTAATGGTTCTATTCCGGCTTCATTGGGGAACTTGAACAACTTGTCCCTTTTGTATCTGCATGAAAATCAGCTTTCTGGCTCCATACCTGAAGAAATAGGTAACCTAAGGTCACTTACTAAACTAGTTTTGTACAAGAACTCACTTAATGGTTCTATTCCTGCTTCATTGGGAAATTTGAACAATTTGTCCCTTTTGTATATTAATGAAAATCAGCTTTCTGGCTCCATTCCTGAAGAAATAGGTTACCTAAGGTCTCTTACTCAAATATATTTGGGCACTAACTCTCTTAATGGCTCTATTCCGCCTTCATTGGGGAACTTGAACAGCTTGACTATTTTGTCTCTGCATGAAAATCAGCTTGCTGGCTCCACACCTGAAGAAATAGGTTACATGAGGTCTCTTACTAAGCTGGATTTGAGTTCTAACTCTCTTAATGGTTCTATTCCTTCTTCATTGGGGAATTTGAAAAACCTTTCTATTATGTATCTTCCTCGTAATCACCTTTCTGGGTCCATTTCTGAAGAAATCGGTTATCTAAGGTCTCTTACCGAGCTACATTTGGGCATGAACTCTCTTAATGGTTCTATTCCAGCTTCATTTGGGAATTTGAACAACTTGTCCCTTTTGTATATCAATAATAATCACCTTTCTGGTTCCATTCCTGAAGAAATCGGTTATCTAAGGTCTCTTACTGAGCTACATTTGGGCATGAACTCTCTTAATGGTTCTATTCCAGCTTCATTTGGGAATTTGAACAACTTGTCTATTTTGCATTTATATGAGAATCAACTTTCTGGCACCATTCCTGCAGAAATAGGTTACCTAAGGTCTCTTACTCAGCTGGATTTGAGTACTAACTCTCTTAATGGTTGTATTCCTGCTTCAATAGGGAATTTGAACAACTTGTCCTTTTTGTATACTAATGATAATCACCTTTTTGGATCCATTCCACCTAAAATTGGTGACCTAAGGTCTCTGACTGAGCTAGATTTGAGTACTAACTCTCTTAATGGTTCTATTCCCGCTTCATTTGGCAGTATGAGAAATTTGCAATGTTTGCTTCTCAATGCTAACAATCTCACTGAGGAGATTCCTTCATCTATGTGCAATTTCACATCACTGAATTTGTTGAATCTGAGGAGAAACAACTTGAAAGGAGAAATTCTGCCATGTTTTGGTAATATCAGTCCCCTCCAGTTTGTGATGATGTCACATAATAATCTCAGCGGAGAGCTCCCTTCGTCTATTTGCAATTTAAAATCACTACAAATTCTAGATTTGGGTAGAAACAGTCTAAAGGGAGCAATTCCGCAATGTTTTGGCAACATGAGTGGTCATCTTGAGGTTCTGGATATGCAACACAACAATCTTTCTGGAACTCTTCCAACGACTTTTAGAGCTGGAACATTTAGAAGCTTCAACTTGCATGGCAATAAAATAAAGGGGAAAATTCCCCAATCTTTGGTCAATTGCAAAGAAATGCAAGTTCTTGATTTAGGAGATAATCAGCTCAAGGACACATTCCCGATGTGGTTGGGAACTCTTCCTAAGTTGAGAGTTTTAAGCTTGAGATCGAATAAGCTGCATGGACCAATTAGAACTTTAAGAAGTGAAAACATTTTTCTTGAGCTTCGAATGTTGGATATCTCTTCCAATGCCTTCACGGAAAACTTACCGATGAGTCTGTTTCAACATTTAAAAGCCATGAGGACAATTGATCAAACGATGAATGCACCAAGTGATGAAGGAGATGAATATTACCAAGACTCGGTAGCTGTCGTAACAAAGGGATTGGAGCTTCAAGTTGTGAGAATCTTGTTTTTGTACACCACTATCGATTTTTCAAACAATAAGTTTGAAGGACATATTCCAAGTATTATGGGAGATCTCATTGCACTTCGCATGCTAAATATATCTCATAATGGATTGCAAGGTCATATACCGCCATCACTTGGAAGATTAACTTTGGTTGAATCACTGGATCTGTCAAGTAACCACCTTGTAGGAGAGATACCAGCACAATTTGCTTCTCTAACTTCTCTTGCAGTCTTAGATCTCTCCTACAATCATCTCGAAGGGTGCATTCCTCAAGGAAATCAATTTCATACCTTTGACAACAATTCATATGTAGGTAATGATGGATTACGTGGATTTCCACTTTCAAAAGGCTGTGGTAGTGATGGTAATGATTCAGAATCAGAGAAAACTGATACCGGATCTGAGCTTGATGAAGAAAGCAACTCTGAATTTCTGAATGATTTTTGGAAAGCTGCTCTTATGGGCTATGGAAGTGGACTTTGTATTGGATTATCCATTATATATATCATGATCTCAACTGGAAAACCGATATGGCTTGCAAGAATCATTGTGGAGCTGGAGCATAAAATTATGATGGGAAGAAGAAAGAAACAGCGAAAGCAAAGGAATTACAGAAGAAGCAAATAATCGCATGTAGAAGAGTTAAAAATTCAGGTATGCAGTTAAGTTCTAGTTTGAGCTTTAGATTATTGCAGCTAACTATATCTGAATATTTTCATATTAGTTATATCAGCAACTAATTGAATGCTCTACAAAGCTTATTTTTCTGTCCAAAATTAGTTGGAAGCTGTGATCCAATTATCTGGTTAGAGGCTTGGTTTAACAAGTAATTCTTCAAGTGTGAATCAACAGTAAAATTCGTCGGACTTAATAACTTTCTTCCAAATTGTAATTTAATTTTAGCATAAAATAAAAGACTTGACTTTCTTTGTGTAAATATAAACATCAGACAGTAAATAAACAAATTCAAACATGCAGGTGCTTGGAGAAGAATTTGTTGGAATGCTCATCAGAGATACAATAATATCAGAAACTACAGCTTTTGGTTTATAAGTAGGCTTTTTATTCTTCCTTTATTAAGTTCAGGAAATGTAATATTATGAATATTGATGATATATCAAGTTATGTAATGTTTTAATGTATTCAATGAATGAAGTTTATGAATTTCTTGGATTCCTATCTACTTACTGTACATTGCAAATGAATAATACTCACTTCACATAATCTAAGAGGGACTTAATTATGAATAAAACGTAGAACTTGAGAATGCATTATCCGTTGTCCCTAATATAATCGAGCTCGAGAAAGAAGTGAAGGCAGAGTGTTGGATGTCCCTGAAGCTAATTATATCAAGCCAACATACCAGCACCAGCAACGATACGAATGGAGGTTTTCTATCTCAGATTTCTAACACATGGGAAGAAATCACTAGTATTTTTGTGTCTCTACCGAGATTTGAACCCTACAGATCTCTTATGGTTTTCATCCACTTCATTGTCCGTTAAACCACACCCATATTAATTATCAGTATAGACTCAATAGTTTGTGGATAATTGTGTTCCAAACTTCCAATATCATTAATTGAGATCTTCATTTACATTATCTTAGGAGTAGTATATATCTAACTTCTCTTTTCTTTGGGGGGAAACATGAAAAAGTCATTATACTTTTTAGAGTCGGGCAAGTGGAATGAGAACGCAACAAAACTATTTGGAAAAGTCCTTATCTTAATAATATGTGTAACGCATTTACATTCATAATTCATTATGTTTATTGACTTAACACAGCAAACCTAGTTGGTTATGGCCTTGTCTGAATTATATTATATGTGTAACACATTTACATTCATTATTTATCATCTTTCTTGACTTAACGCAACAAAACTATTTGGTTGTCTTTGTCTGAATTATATGTGTAACACATTTACATTCATAATTCATTATCTGTCTTGACTTAACACAACAAAACTATTTGGTTAAGTCCTTGTCTACAGATGCAAGTGTACCTTTCAAAGAAATTGGACTAGTCAAAGAAATCTGCCTATATAGATATGAATAGCCTTTTCTTAATTTTCACTATCAACTCTCAGTATACAGACTTACTCAGTATTTAGAAGCAACTTGAACTAAAACATGGGATACAGGCAATTCTCATTTCTGATCTTTGTCTGTTTCTATCAGCTTTCTTTTTCTTCATCCATACCTCATCCGTGCCGCAAAGATCAAAGCACCGCTCTTCTAAAATTCAAGAAAACACTCACTTTAGATCCCTCATTAGTTACGTGTAGTTCCTACTCTTATATGAGTTCATGGAATACGAGCAGAGATTGTTGCTCGTGGGATGGAGTCATATGTGATGAGATGACTGGCTGTGTGATTGAACTTAATCTCAGTTGCAGCGGTCTTGTAGGAAAGATTGATTCCAATAGCAGTCTCTTCCAACTCTCTCATCTCCAAAGCCTCGACCTTTCTTCTAATAACTTCTGTAATTCTCACATCTCACCTGAATTTGGAAGGTTCTCAAACTTGACACTTCTTGATCTTTCTGACTCCTATTTCTCAGGTCATATACCTTCTGAAATCTCTCATCTTTCTCAATTACAGTCTCTTCGCCTCTCCCCGTCATTTGAAACTATTCTAAGACTCACTGCCCATGATTTGAAATTGCTCCTTCAGAATTTGACTCAATTAAGAGAGCTAGATCTTACTTCCATAAATATCTCTTCCACCATTCCTCCAAATTTTTCTTCTCATTTGACAACTCTGAGGATGGGAAATACAGGATTGTACGGGATAATACCTGACAGTATTTTTCACCTTCCCAATCTGGAAACACTTGTCTTACAAAACAACAATCAGCTCAGTGGTTATTTCCCTAAGACCAAATGGAACAGCAGTGCATCTCTCATAGAGTTAGATCTCAGTGGCGTGAATTTTTCTGACAATTTGCCTGAGTCTATTGGCTATCTAACTTCGGTACATTCTTTGTCTCTTAAAAATTGCAATCTTAGAGGGCCTATTCCTGAATCTCTTTTGAATCTCACTCGCATAGAGGATTTGGACCTTCAATATAACTCCCTGAATGGAACAATACCATCAGGGATGTTCTCTCTTCCGTCACTAAGTCGTTTAGTCTTAGGCAATAACCACTTTTCTGGTCAGTTTGATGATTTCAATTCCAATTCACTAATCTGGATTGATTTAAGTAATAATCAGCTGCAAGGCCATCTTCCCAAGTCGATTCAAAACCATGTGAACCTAACAGGCCTTATTCTTTCTTTCAATAATTTTAGTGGTCATGTGGATGTCAGCTTCTTTGCTGACCTCAAACAGCTTTATTATCTTGATCTTTCATATAATCGTATCTCATTAACTAATGAGAACAAACATAATGTTACTTTGCCAGGATCTCTTATGAGCTTACAATTGGCCGCATGTGAAGTGAAAGAATTGGAGTTTCTAAGATCCGCTAAGCTTCTTTGGCAGTTGGATCTTTCAAATAATAAGATTCAAGGAAGAATCCCTTATTGGGCATGGTCTAACTGGATGTTTATATTGCAACGTCTTAATTTATCCCACAACATGCTGGAAAGTGTTGCTTCAATTCCTCTTCTCTCTATAGAAGCTATTGATTTGCGGTCCAATTTGCTTCAAGGTTCACTACCTATTCCACCAATTTCCACAAGATTCTTCTTCATATCCCATAATAATCTCACTGAAGAAATTCCTTCAGATATTTGCAATTTGACATCACTGGTAATGCTTGATTTGGCAAGAAACAACTTGAAGGGAGAAATTCCGCAATGTTTGGGTAATATCAGTGGCCTTGAGGTTCTGGATATGCACCACAACAGTCTTTCAGGGACTCTTCCAACAACTTTTAGAATTGGAAGTGCACTCAAAAGCTTCAACTTTCATGGCAATAAGCTGGAGGGGAAAATCCCACAATCCCTGACCAATTGCAAGCAACTCGATGTTCTTGATTTAGGAGACAATCACCTCAATGACACATTCCCCGTGTGGTTGGGGACTCTGCCAAAGCTGAAAGTTCTAAGTTTGAGATCCAATAAATTGCATGGGTCCATTAGATCTCTACCGACTGGAAACATGTTTCCTCAGCTTAGAATATTAGATCTCTCCTCCAATGCCTTCACAAAAAGCTTACCAACGAGTCTATTTCAACATTTGAAAGCCATGAGGACAGTTGATCAAATGATGAACGCACCAAGTGATGAAGGGAATCGATATTACCAAGACTCGGTAGCTCTCGTAACAAAGGGATTGGAGCTTGAAGTTGTGAGAATCTTGTTTTTGTACACCACTGTTGATCTTTCAAACAACAAGTTTGAAGGATTTATTCCAAGTATTATGGGAGATCTTATTGCACTTCGTGTGCTGAATTTATCTCATAATGGATTACAAGGTCATATACCACCATCACTTGGAAGTTTATCTTCAGTTGAATCATTGGACCTGTCAAGTAACCATCTTGTAGGAGAGATACCAGCACGATTTGCTTCTCTTACATCTCTTGAAGTCTTAAATCTCTCCTACAATCATCTCGAAGGGTGCATTCCTCAAGGACCTCAATTCTATACATTTGAGAACAATTCATATGAAGGTAATGATAGATTACGTGGATTCCCAGTTTCAAAAGGTTGTGGTAATGATGGTAATGATTCGGAGACAAATGATACCACATCTGGACTAGAAGATGAAGAAAGCGACTCTGAATTTCTGAATGATTTTTGGAAAGCTGCTCTTATGGGGTATGGAAGTGGACTATGTATTGGATTATCGATAATATATTTCATGTTCTCAATTGGAAATCCGAAATGGCTTGCAAGAATCATTGTAGAACTGGAACACAAAATAATGATAGGAAGGAGAAAGAAGCAGCAAAGGCAAAGGAGTTACAGAAGAAGAAATAATAGCTTAACTTGACAAGTTACATTTGTTTTTATTGTGTAACATTATGATGTAAATGATGTTTAATCAGTTTTTGTATTTTTTTTTAAGCAATAATATTACAGTTATTTCATTAAAGAAAAAATATAGTTAAACAATGGGCTGATTGAAAAGTATTTTAGTTCTTGTTAAATAATATATAAATAGACACTCAAATTTTAAGAGTGCACATCTAAATACCTTCGGTGAAAGAGTAACATCAAATTGAATGAGTTTGGTGTGTATGTCATATGACTTTTTTTTATAGTGCACAACTACCCCATGACCCATTGCAATAAATTAGGGACTACCTTCACTTAAATATGTAACATCAAATTGAATGAGTTGTTGCATCAAATTTAATGAGTTGAAAACTCAAGATTATTGATAAGACAATATCAAAATTGTTGTATAAAAAATTATTTATGTATTAGTAATACCGAAAAGCGAATTATTAATCAAAGACTATATAAAAAATAAGGAACTTTTTATTAGGATTATTTTCTTTGTTATGTATATAACAAAAAGACATGTAAGGTACGTATTCATGTTTTAATTGTTAAGGGGAATACTAGAAAAGCTAGCAAAATGATGATGTGGTGATGACTTTATTTTTTTGTTCTTTTCTATTTTTATTCTTTATTATTTATTTTAGTTAGTTCTTGGTTTGTATTCTTCAAGAATGACATAATTATTTAATAAATTATTGTTTTCTCTTATTGGAGAAAGGGAAAAAAATATTAGTTTTGAATTGTCTCTTTGATAAATTAAAATAAAGCCATGTTTGAGAAAACGGGAAAATAGAAATATTTCTATATATCTAATGTAGTTTTACAAGTGGATTTTGAGAAAGGAAAAATGGGTGTAGGCCTTATTTCTATTTTTGTTGGGATATTGTGATATCGTTCTATATTCTATGTTTTTTAGATAATAACTCCTGAATATATTTTTGTTAATTTAAAAGTAAAAAAGATAATATATTTAATAGATTTTTAAAGGATATATATTTTACTTTGAAAATGTTCCCATAAAATCTATGTGTGTAATTAGTAATTGAATACTAGGTTTGGGGACATTTGACTATTTTTTCATAATTACAAAATGATGTATTGAGGATTTGAGGTCCTTTATTACATTGTGGGGTTGTGATGGAAGCGGATTTGAATCCTGAGAATTAAAAAAAATCTTTTGAAAGCAATTTCTTTTTAATGACTGTACACGATTTGAGTTTGATTTAATCAAAATTTTAAGACGAATACTAGGAACTGAGTGCGAAACAGAGGAAAAAAAAAGATTCTCCGACACAAGTGGGGTAGGGGGCCTATTAAACCCTTACTTAGAATGAGTTCACTAGGTATCTGAACCCTTCTTCTTAGATCGGCGGCGTCACTAGGTATCTGAAACATTCTACTTAAATCAGCGGCATCGCTAGGTATCTGAAACATTCTTCTTAGATTGGCTGCGTCACTAGGTATCTGAAATCGATCGGCGACAACAATGATAGAAAATGAATTCTATATATAAATAATGAGATATAGAAATCAGGTGTGATGAACTGTAGACATCTGACTTTGCTACCTTCTGCTTAGATCAACATCGACAATGATAGAAAATGAGATCTATAAATAATGAGATATAGAAAGTTAGGTGTGACGAACAGTAGACATCTGATTTAGCTACCTTCTGCTTAGATCGGCGATGGCAATGATAGAACAAGAGATCTACAAACAATGGGATATAGAAGTCAGGTACGATGAACACTAGACATCTGATTTAGATACCTTCTGCTTAAATCGGCGGCAGCATTGAAAGAAAAGAAGATCGAACAGTAGACACCTCATTTAGCTATATTTTGCTTAGATCGGCGACTAGTAGTGAAAAAAAATAAGAGATCTATAAATGATGAGATATAAAAGTCAGGTGTGACGAACAGTAGACATCTAATTTAGCTACATTCTGCTTAGACCGGCAACAACAACGAAAGAAAAAAAGATTTCAATCAGAGCGATAGCGGTCAGTCAAGGTGGATTTTCTAACAATGTGGTTGGTAAGTTGCCTGTCAGAGCTGTACTTCCATATGAGGATTGGCAAAACTCTCAGGGGTCGTTTGGTGTGAGGGATAATACCAAATAGTCCCGGGATTAATTATAGTACCGCTTATTTTGTTGTTTGGTTGGCAAGTTCGGGATAACTTATCCCGGGATTAATAATTAATACCGGGATAAGTTATCCCTCTCTTGGGGTGGTATAGTAATCCCGGGATAACTTATCCCGGGATAAAATAGGTAAATGACAAAAATGTCTCTTTCAACCCTTTTGTTATATCACTTTTTACATTAATGAAGGGCATTTTTGTAAACAAATAAATTGTTCTTAAAATTTATTATTTTGAATACAACAAACCAAACACTCAATAAAAAATAATATCAACACAACTTATCCCATCATAACTAATCCCAACATAACTTATCCCAACATAATTTATCCCATCATAACTCATTTTCAAACCAAACGACCCCTCAGAAGTTTAAGAATTTGATGAGAAAGACCACGTGGTAATTCAATTAAAATATTCAAAAAAGTGCATTTTTTCTTCACGAGAAAATGTAGATGGTGTTTGTTGACGGTCCTTCGCTTACTTCTCCGGTTCAACAATACATTTTCCGATCCTGGAAATAGCTTGCGCTATAATCAGGTACAAATTTCGAATTTTAATTTGATAGATTCAAATTTTAGGTTTTTGCGACTAAACTCACTAACTTCATACTCTAATATTTATTTTTTTAAAATTTAGTAATTTATATATTATATATATGTATATCGACATTTGGTGCTTATTTTATATTGAAATTTAAATATTTGTATCAAATTCATCCTATACAATGCTATCAAATGCAACTTTAGTGACAATGAAAATGACCTAGTAATAGTAATCACCGAAGTCAATTGACAACCTTGAGATCTCGGATTTCAAATCCTTTGTAGAAACAAAAACACTAGGTAGTGGACAACATGAGTTATTACCTAGCTAGTACTTAGTGTTGGTGGGAGTAGTAGATATCATATCTTATCCCACGTATCAAACAGCCCTTAAAAGTGTAGTCCCAGGAACGTAAAGAGTGTCTAGTACGAAGGAGAGAGCTTTCATCAGAAAACAGAACACATAACAGATTCTATAACACAGAGGAACTAGCCTGCAGACTTCTAAAGACGATACAGAATCAAACTTAGTATGTAATCCTAGGGGGGAGTTTGGTTCGCGTACTAGATTATCCCGGAATTATAGTCCAAGGATTATAATCATTGGGCTAATTTATCTCACATGGGAGGTGGGATAAAATAATCTCAAGTTTGATGGGATAAGGTGGGATATCCAAGATCGAGCTTGGGATAAAATTTATATTGTGTTCGGTTCATGGTGTAAATCTATCCTACCAAACACAATATCAATTTTCTCTCAAGCTCAATCTTGGAATATCCTATCTTATCCCACATACCAAACAACCCTTAAAAGTGTAGTCACTAGGAAAAAAGGAGAGAGGTACAGAATGATTAACTGCAAAATATCAGCATGAAAGGACAGTGTCTCTGTCTAGTAATAACAGCATGGCAATGCATAACAATGGTTTTTCAAAGTTACACATGCATCTCCCTCACTGTGTGTGTGCGTGAGAGAGAGAGAGAAGGAAAGGGGAAGGGGACATACATATCTCTCTCATAGTGCGAGAGAGAGACAGAAAAAAAGTTTTTCTGTCTATAAGTGTGATTTTCTGTGGCGGATGCTGGATTTTCATCAAGGGAGTTCAATGTATACTATACATACATAACCAAAAAAAGTTGACCTTGTATATATGAAGTGTGATTTTCTAGCGAAGGGGGATCATCTCCTAGCTCCGCCAAAGTTTTTGATTCTGCAAAGGAAAAGCAGGGGTAGAGGGGAGTTACTAGGGAGCTACTGCTAGTTCAGAGCTTTGAATAAACAGAACTGTTTGGGAAAGACTGGCCTATTTCAACACCAAATATGGATGCACAAGAGAGCATAGAAGGAAATACATCTAGATCGAGGGACATCATAGGTGATCGTCGAACTAAACAAATAACAAGTGGTGTCATGATGCTTCTAAGCATTAATACATAAACACACTCAAACAAACTTTGTAAGCACATCTAGACACCTCAACTTGGTCTCAACTTTCAACTAAACACTCCAATTCATCCCACCGTGCCATGTAGACACCTGACAATGATCAATGATGTGACACGTAAATTTTGGAGGTGTCTAGATGATCATTTTGTTAGTAGGAGAGTTCAACTGACAAAGTGGAGACGAGTTGAAGTGTTCAGATGAAAATGTTCTTGATGCACAATACTAAGTTTTATGCAAAAATGCCACTGCAAGACAGAATATCACCAAATGCAAGTTCGGTCTGGTTCTTAACTAACTTGCAATGATTAGAAGGCACACAAGATTCATATTCTAAATGATATCGGATAGAAGTTTAGACAAACATCCAGAGTATCCAACCATGACTTTCATAACATAGGTGATGCAGTTAGTTTTCGAGAAAAATACTAGGAGAATTCAAAAGAACTGATTAACAAGTTTGCTGCTGCATGTTAGCTGTAAAACATTTTTAAAAGATTTTACAACAAAAGGGAGCGATAACAGGTTGCCAAAAACTTGGAGATTTCCGATGCTTACTAGCTAATGATACCTAGCTGCATCAAGCTGATCTCTTCCCATCGGTCTATCTAAGCTGAGAGGTGCAGAATTGAAAGAAATATTGGGCTTTGTACTGTCTAATTCGTGCTGCTTATGCTTCAGTTGCAATGCCATATGCTCATTCTCCAACATTAATTTCTTGTTCTCCAGCCTTTCTATTTCAAACTCCCTGTCTTTCTTGCGGCAGAACCTTTGCCACTTAACCTGACGTTTCTCCAACTCAAAGGCTTCAGCTTGGATGCCAATCTTTTCCTCTTCCAGTTGTAACATCCGTTTCTTAATCCACATTTTCTGATCCCACTGGGATTTTGTAGGGTCTTGAAAAAATTCATTAATTTCAGCCAAAAAATTATCATTCCCGTTAATTTGTGGCAAGAAGCAGCCATTTTCTTCAACTCGTCTCATTCTCTCATCAAAATCTGCAATTTTACGTGCATCACCATCACCATGGTTATCATCCGATTCATCATCATCATCATCACTTTCGTCATTTTCTTCAGCTTCGTCTCCCTGGGAGCCATTATGATCTTTTGCACACAGTGCTGCAACAGGTGAAGAGTGAGCTGGAAATTCAAGATCATTGCAATCAGGTATCTTCTGCCCATTATGGTAAGCACACATCTCTCTATAAAACAAATGTTTTGAGTTAAGTATCTTTTTCACCGTGTCCTTGGCCTTGGCAGAAAGCTGAGGCATGGAGTCCATTAGAATCGGATTTTCCACCACAGCACAAGAAGTACCCCTCCCAAGAATATCATTCAACTTCTTGTACCTCTTGTTCAAATCATTAAACTTATCCTCACACTGCTGAGGTGAGACATGACAACCGTTACTCATCATTATTCGCGATACTGTTTTCCATTTACCCTTTTTCTGAAGGCAAGCAGATTTTCTCTTCAACCCCACTCCAGGACCTTCCAAACTACCGTCATCTCCAACACATGCAACTACTTGTATAAGAAGCCTAACAACATTATCAGTCCATTTCATTCTCTGCCATGGAGATCCCTTCTTCCCCTGTGCCCCACCGTTGTTATCACCATTTCCATCCTCATTAAAGCTAGGCTCATCCTCGTCACTCGTATTGCTATTAGGATTATTACTAGTATTCACAACATTACTCGGCCCAACTGCTTTATCCTTCCCATAAGCCATACAACCTTGTGCATCCATCAAACCAACAGTTTTTTCGTGTTCAAGCCCCAATTTTGCACTCACCGATGATTGAACATTATTGTGATTCATCTGATGACCATGAACTGCATTATTACTCATTGGTTCAGGTTGTTGCAGCATATTCATCCCCAAAAATCCACCATTATACCCAGATAAAAAGCCACCACCCATACCAGAAGTATTCATTATTCCAAAACCAATTTGCAACTTCTCAGAACTGAAAATCCCAACTTCACAAATCACAACCAAAAAATCAGCCCTTAAATCATTTTCCCTTTCCTAAAAACACATCCTTGAAACTCCCAAAATACTAAACTAAAAAAAAAAAAAAAAACTTCACAACCAAAAATCAGCCCTCAAATCCTTTTACCCTGTCCTAAAAACACATTCTTGTAACTCCAAAAATACTAAACTTCAAACAAAAACAGCTATCTCCCACAATTCATCATTATCCAACATACCAACAACTGAATCAGCTCAATCCAACAAACCCCAAACATAAAAACATCATAAAAATTAAATCTTGAAACAACTGATTCAGATACACTGTATGAACTGTAAGTTATTACCCATGAAAAATTCAGCACCAGCTTTGCTCAATAAGTGTATATACAAAGAACCCATGTTGGGGCTTACATAAATCCTGTCAAAATCAAATCTTTAACATACCTAAAGCAGGTAAAAACAAATTCCAAAGACAAGAGTAGCAATAAACTGAAACTTAGATAAAGTTACAATTTTTACCTCTTCAGTGATCTGACTATGAATTCTTGAAGGAGAGAGATGGAGGGGGAGAGAGAGATGGGGGAGGGAGAGAGAGAGGGGCTTAAAGGGCAATGGGTCCAATAGTATAAAGGTAAATTGGGGAAGAAGAATATTTATTAAGTACTGTTTTGGGAGCTGCTAAATCAGCAAATCTACCAATGGAAAGTGGCTTTGTCAAATAATCCCTAGTTTTTAATTTGTTTGTGTTGTTTGAACTTAATACAAAGTTTTAAAAAATAAGTAATCATTTGTCTCAATTTATGTGGCCACTTTTCAGTTTTTTAAAAGTCAAACATTTTAAATTTGATTGAAAATTTATGCTTGGAATCTTCAATTCTTTTGAAATGAAATTTATATATTTGTAAACTACGTAAAAAGTACCATAAGTCACAATAATTGACAATTCAAAATAATTAAAAGATATATGAAAAATTTACGAGTCAGGAATTGAATTGTTTGAATCTCGAAATCCGAAAAGTATCACAATTTGGAAGAAGGGAATAAAATAAAATTGTTGAATATGTTACGTCAAAAATTAAAATTATTGAATTATCAAAATAAGAAAAACATATTCCTTTTGAAATATATTAAAAAGAAAAGTAGGATGAGCAAATTAAAATAAATAATACATTTTTGTTTTCTACATATTATTTTTGGTTAATTATTTATACCCTATTTAGTTTATGGGTAAATGGTAATTATAGGACCTTCCTAGTTCCCATTTGTTCTTCATAAAAAGGGATCATTTGGTTCAAGATCAGATATTCAAGAATTATAATAAAAAGTATATATTGGATAATCAATATTGCCTTTTATATGGAATAATTATATAGAGATATTAATATTTTTTTTAAAATTATACTGATTTTAGTTAATAGCTTTAATGAAATATGACATTGAAAACTATGAATATCATTTACTAGGTCGTCATGAATGGACCAACAAAATTTGAGCTCAAACAATGTCTATCAAATATATTTCGGAAGATTGGTGGACTAATATACAAGAAAAGCCAAGATAATCTTGAATTTTTGCTTCGTGACCCATAAACTCTAAAAAACCGACATGTGCCCCCCAAAAAACTATGAGTCTCATTTACTAGGTCATCAAGAATGGATCCACAAAGTTTAAGTTCAAACAGAGTTGGTCTCACATATTCCAAAAAATAATGAACTAATACACACGAAAAGTCGAGACAATCATGAATTTCTGTTTCGTGACCCATAAACTCTTTAAAAAATAAGTGATGTCTGCTCTTGAAAAACAATAAGTATTATTTACTAGGTTCAATTTCAAAATTTATATTGGAATAATTCACCTAATACCTTGAACCAAACGAAAGTTTTTGGAGGTTTTAGTCTCATTATAAAACTTAGCTTATAGTTCAATTTAAATGTCTTGATTTTAACCCCCTAAGAATTGTTTCACCATATGATCAGCTTGGCATGTGCTTATCTATTATTATCATTAAACATGCTAGCTTTGACGTTTTCTTTGCTCATGAAATTTGGTGTCTTTAAGGATCTTGATTAAGCTTTACACGAAGGCAAAAAACTTGACAAGATCTAGAATCAGAGTTATAAACTGACTAAATGACTAGATTCTCCTGGAACGCTAGCTAAGCTAATAGTCTTGTACTTGATGCATTCATCTTATTGGCTACGTATCGTATGAGACCTTGTTATACTGGGGTTCAAGAAAGTTTATTGAACATTTGCAAGTTGTAGAATTCATGTTCTTCATACGTGCTGGTCCCATTGATATCATTGTGACCAAGTTTGTCATGTTCCAATCTGGTGGACATGGCATTCCTTCAGATATTGCATGTCTAAATACAATAACTACGTCTCAGTCCTATACAAGTTAGAGTCGACTTATAAACCACTCACTTCTTTATTTAAGCTCATTTCATATCATCATCATACATTACATGTCTCGGTATGTGCAAATCTACATGACATGTAAAACGTCAGGTACAAAATTGTGTTCTTCAAGCCTTCTGTGTTTACAAGGATCACTTTGCACATTTTCTGGTAACTAGTATTGATTACGTGCGTTGCACGTATATTTCTATTAGTTGATGTCAAAATCTTATATATAATTTTAATTGATATGTTAGATGATAAAAATAGATATTAAAGTATATCGAAAAATACAAGTTTCTAAGCATAAATATTAATCTTATATTTTAATCTCGTTACACTTACATTCAAAATGGATTTAATATTTGTGAAGTTAAAATATAAATTAAGGTAGTTTTGATACTATTTATATAATAGTTACTTTATATTAAACATGCATACATGTTTCTCTATGATGTAAAAGAATACATATTTCCTTAAAATATTTTTTTATAGAACATTCAACACAATTTTTATATTAGATTTGAGATATATTTATCTACTATAATAATTTACACATTTTTCTACCTAAAAGAGATAATGCAAAAGAAAAAAAAACTCTTAATTGTGTTTAAATGCAAACCAATTGAATTAGTATTATATGTGGTTATTTGGTCTTTTCTCTTAGAGATATTGCTAGTGGAATTTACTTCAACATTTATGGTGTGGACATTTTATCAAGTCATTAAGGCAATAAATATTTATAAAAATGGTGAAAAAAATGTACAATGATGATATTATGATTGATTATAACGTAACTTTTTATTTAAGGTCTTTTCACTTGTAATATGATACATGTTTTCTTATTTAATGATTAGTTAAATGATTTATAATATTATGTTTTAGTGTAGTATTTTAAAGCTTTCTACTTTGGGCACGTGCGTTGAACATGTATTCATAACGATGAATATGAATTATTAAAAATCACATAATTTCTTTTAAAATTGTGTTTGATTTGCATAAAAAAAAGTAAAATGATAAATGTTTATAGTGTATAGTCAACTCATAAGAAGAAACTCTTTTGTATTTAGTCATCCCCTTATTATAATTTCGATATATAAATTTTATATTTGTTTTAAAAGACAAAATAAAGTAGTAAAAACAAACATAGAGGCACACTACCTTATGATTAACTTCCTTAAAATATCTCTCTTGTCTTGTAGAATATAATAAAAATATTACTTATTTAAAATTCTAGAAATCCTAATTGACTCTTGTTCTTCTACATTCTCTTTCTAATAAATAACTTACAATTCAAAAAACAATTAAAATAATATTATAAAATTAATTAGATGTTTAATTTAGTCTATGGATAAAATGGTAATCCAACTTTTCATCTTTCAAACTTCCCACTTTTAGTAAGACTAAACGTGCTTTGCACATGAGTCCTGTGAAAGGTATGAATTACTGTCAAAATCACATTTTAATCAGTATTGCAAGCTATTAAAAAAAATACTATATAATTTATAATAGATGAACAATCAATGTATTCAAATAACTTCTTTATTGTATGTCAAATGATTAGACATTTGATGAACCTGCAAAATTTAGTTTGGTAACTAAAATAATGAGCTACATTTTTAAGTTATTAGGTCCAACATATGATATATTAGTATGTGCAAAAATGAATAACAAAAATGATTAATGTTTCTCATTTAAATGCACAATTAGAAAATTTCTACATATACCTTAAATTGATATCTATACCTCAAGTCCAACACCCATACAATTCTAAATGCTTCATGGAAGAAAAATTCTATAATGGAGAAAGAAAGCAAGAACGAAAAGTTAAGGATATTGCAAAGAAAGTCATCATGCTCTCAAAAGAAAACTTTGTTATTGTTAGAGACAACATATCAACATAAAATTGTTCACTGTTTTAATACTACATATATATTAAATTTACTCTCTTTTTTCCGCTGCTATTTTTTCTTCTTTATTACCAATTTTCAACATTTTTTGGTTATCCTCACTTGCAACTTCTGACTCTCTTATCTTCTCATGTTGAATTGTGTAATTTCCATAATTCAATTTCCTATTGTGAGATTTCATTTTTGTAAGTTGGTTCATAAATAGCATTAAGAAATGACCCTTTAAATTCAAATTTTAATTCTGAAATTGATTTCTACATTAAAGTGATGAATGACTTTCCATATCATAACTTTCAGATTCTTCCATTATGAGATATATGATTACGATTAAAAGCAATATGAATGTATGCATTTATCAAGAAAATGATAATTTAATTATTGAAGGACTTAAGAACTTCAAATTCTACCATTATGTAATTAAAATATTTATATTTGATCAAATTTTAATTTATTAGAGAGGCAAAATGGTAATTCAACTTTTCACTTTGGAGCTTCCTACTTATTATAATACTAGCTTTTGGAAACGTGCGTTGCACGTTTGTCCCTTGTAATTACTACAAGATGACTATATACTTAAAAATTTGAATTTCAAAATAGAAAATATACTTGTATTGCATGCTAGTTATTATAAATATTTGTAAATGATTTAAATATAGTTACAATATGTATGAATAGTTATTCATAAAATTAAGTAATCAAAAGAGGAGTGTAACACCAAATTAAAGCTTAACATCAAATGGACAATCTGACAATCATATCAAATAGTTTTAAGAAATTGTAAATTTCACATGAGTTATTAGTTGCGAAGATCTCACATAATGTTTGAAGAGAATATATAAAAATTTATCAATATCCATTACATTATTATAGCATTACAATAAATTATACAATTTCAGAAGTACATTATGTTCATCCCACAAAAATTCGAAAATAAAATGAAATAGAGTAGACTAAAAACAATAAAATAGCTAATGAATTGTAAAGCTTTTAAATTATAACAAAAATTAAAGAGAGAAATAGTTCCAGTTTAAAAGAATAGAAGAACTTCTTCAATAACTAACAAAAACATAAATAGATCTAATTCTTTTTTATTGCATATGTGATGAGCAATTACATCCATCAACAATTATACATTAGAATAACAAAGTGTATGCATTAACAAAAAGTGACTGTGATGAGCAATGTAATTACATCCACCAATAATCATTCATCAACAATTATACATCGGAATAACTAAGTGTATGCATTAATACAAAATGATTTTGAAAACAATTTTTTGGTATGTATAATTACAAGTTTGGAATTATAAAAGTCATTTAAAAATTGATGATATACATAACATCTATGAGAATTAGATTGGTTACAGTTGGGATATGTAAAGTTTCTGACTAAAATCTAAATATGTATGCCATATTAAGATGTATGGTAATTCAAAGGACGTTTTTGTTCTTTAATGTTAATGGATATTTCAGTTTTTAAAGGATATAATTTACATTTTTTTTTTTACCCTCCCTAGTTGCTCCCACCCATTTTGCTCCCTTGGTGACTTGAACTCACAACCTTCGGGTTGGAAGTGAGGGGTACTTACCATCCGAGCAACTCCCTCTCGTCGGATATAATTTATTGTCTTTTGTTGTTACGAAACACTTCATCTACCGAACTTCATTTAGGAATAAAAATAAATTAAATATTCCGTGAATACTTCATATACCGTACTCCATTTTAGAATAAAAACAAATTAAATATTCCGTGAATTAATTCTACCTAGAAATATAATGGATTAATACCATATAAGTATTATTTAATATTTTATTAATTAGTCTTTTTAATAATATTTAAATTTAGTGAAGGGATAAAATCATAATCCAACTTTAAAGTTAAAATCTTCCCACTTATAATAATAATAAATAATAATAATAATAATAATAGTTTCTGGGCTCACCCTCTGCTCGTGTACCTATATCAATCAATACACTTTTTTTTAAAAAAAATATAAAGATTATTAATAATATTGTTTTATGTTTTTTTTTTTTGATAAAGAATAATATTGTTTTATGTTTTAAAATTAAAAGAGTATATACTCCTTAAAATGATGAATTTTAATTTTTCTTAAGTTCACTAAATGGCATGTGTGAACTTTATGTGTCTTGATTTATTTCATTTTTTACATATGAATTTAGACTAATTGGCAAGTCTTTGAATCAATGAGATTTTTCATCCAAATACTTTTTTTCTAGATAGAATAAATGAAATAATAAAGTTCTAAATTTAATCAATAAAAAACATAACGTTACAGAATACAATAATATTTACCAATACATTTTTCTTCTTCAACGCTTCCTCTTCTTTCCGTTATTAGGGATATTTATTTACAAATCACACCATGATTTTACTGTCATACAAGTAGTAAACCATTTATAAATTCTAAAAAATATATATTAAATATAATGCATGCTAATTTTTGTAGATTTAATTATGAGAAAAAAACTAATTACATGAGTTATTCAATTATCTTATCCCATAACCTAGAGTGTAGAAGAATTACATAATGCAGTAGTATTATGCATACATTGACATATATCATAAACACCGACATTAATTCAATTACTACAGGATAATCAACTTGTTATAACAAACATAATCTTTAAAAGAAGATTTGTACATCACATGTAAATGAAAAATTTGTTTTCTTTTTCATTGCCATTATTCAATTTACCTTCTTTCAACCAAAAATTTGAATGTAACAAACAATGAACTAAGTAAAAATATGCAACATTGAAATGAAAAATAATACTTACCAAACAACAAATAAATGTCTATGCCGCCTTTAACCTTCTTGAAGAATTCATCGAATACACTGAAATGACTAATATTCTAATCCAGATATCTATATTCTCCAAGAAACTACTGTCAATAAATTAACGAAACAACATACATATTCTTGCTCACACAAATAAGTTTGTTTTACCTCATGAATGTTTAGCAGACTTTTTGTCCAAACGAAAAACACTCTAGAATTATTTCTCACTTGTTGCGTTAAAAACATAAAATTTCGATTAAAGAATGAAACAAAACCTGTAATATGAGTTCTATCTATATACATATATAACTAAAATTTATTGATCAAGAGAAACATGAAAAATTAGAAGTATAATTTTGTGAGATAAATCAACTCACATGCTATTGTCACCCAAAATGAGAAGACAGCAAAATAATGTATTTTGTGGGAAAAATTATGTATATAATTTTATCAATGGAAACTCTTCAAATTCTTTAACTTAAAATTAAATAAGAGATGTTTTGAAATGTTTGGACTTCATTTATTTGAATGACTTTTTATCCTCCATTATATCTTTATTACTTTAAAGTTTATTATCTAATTATTTATTAGAATATACTTTTACATTTTTTATATTTTAAAAAATAGAAAAAATATTTAAGTGAAGGGCAAAATGGTAATCCAACTTTGAGGTTAGGAGCTTCCCACTTATAATAATATATGATGATATGATATATGATATGATATACTCTCACAGTCCTCAAGGTTTCTGTGAAATCGAACAGATAGTGTCTTCAACAAGGCTTATATTCACAATTTTCCAGCAGCAGCAAAAGTAAGTTCATTGGTGAAGCCATTCAAGATGAAGGAAAGTAGAATGTCTACACATTCAAACTGCAAGGGTAAAGTATTTTGCCATTCAAGATGAAGCATAGAATGTCTACACATTCAAACTGCAAGGGTAAAGTATTTTGCCATTCAAGATGAAGCATAGAATGTCTACACATTCAAACTGCAAGGGTAAAGTATTTTTTTAAAGTAAAATTTCCATCTAGGTAACATTCTCACAAAGAAGTTCTAGGATAACTTAGTTATTGCATCTACTATAGCTAACAAAAAGTTCAGAAAGAACGATTCATGATCGGTGTCCTCTTTTCCATATGATGACATTCGAATTGCCAACAAGTGTTCAGCGTAAACTCACCTCTCACGTTTAAAGGAGGGGTCGGATACTAGCACTGAAGAAGCCTAATGTAAAGTTTGATTGTTAAATCATGCTGAAATGCCTCTGGATTCAGCTTCGAGGTACTTGCACATCCGTTCCATTACTTCTCTTCCCTTCGCGCTGTTTGCCTGAAACTTGTCCACACACTTCTGTTCTATTTTCTCTGCCATTGAAGCCAGTGCTGATAAGGGCTTAATCCTGATACTCGTTTCCTGCTTGCAGACGGTCCATAACTTTGGATTATCTGGATGAGGGTCATATCTGATTTTCTCCTCCACTTCAATGTACTTCTCCAGACTAATGTTTCGAGTGGAGAGCTGCATGGACCGAGATTGGGCATCAACAACAGTTGATTCTACACAGTGACAGATGTCTTGACGAATGATTTTGCAGAGGAACCATGGTCCTGGTGCATGGATAGTTATGGCACGAGTCGTGTAAAGCTTCCCTGAGCTGGAATCAAGCTTGTGGTTCAATGTGTCAACTTCGAGGATATGCGATAGAATGCGCTTGTTCTCAGGATCAGCAAACTTGCGCCAGGATGCAGAAGTTACTCTTTCCCATGGGTGCTTATATGTGTGCTCTTGTTTATACGCTCTAACCATCTCGTAACTTCTGATTTTCCAAACCTGAACAATAGAAACAGTAAGCAAATCAGGCAAACAAATGTCTATTGACAATGTGAGTTAGCAACAAATGAATCTAAATGTTTTGAGCTCAAAATTTGCTTAAACACCATTCTACCAACACATTTGCATAAAAAGTACCCAATCTTAGAATCAAGTATATTATTGGCACAGGAATTTCCAAAATTACAGTTTTACGATTTTAGGAAAATATGACCACTGATATTTTATTTTATTTTTGATAACCGTGGTGTCTGGGCTAGCTTGCGCGCACCTCGGCTAATTCCAGATATGACCGTTGATATACTCTCTAGAAGAAGTTGAAGATCTTGTAACCCATCTGTTTATAGTATATACAAGAGACATATCAAACCAAATAAACAGGAACTTATTTTTAGCAGGTTGAAACTTGAATGGCACAGCTCTTCTGGCTGCAACATCACTCAACCTTTATTCCATGTTGTTTAACACTAAATGTGCATTAACTTGCAAAGTATCCCAAATATATAGAGAAAGAGAACTCATGGAGTTCCCAATTAACCAGCTTGAGTATGTATAATCTAATTCATTTACATGCACAAAATTAGTTCCCATCCCACCAAAATACAAAAGATTTGGCAAAACAAATAGAGACATCATAGAGGAGTCCGTCACCAATCCAGCTTCTTAGGTGTATACTCTTATAGACAACATTAAATCACTTCAACTGAAGTTCAAAACTAGTAATTCTCCTGAAAGTGCACGGACCCCTCCTCCCTCATTCTTTTCTACTCTCTCCCACAACAGTGGATATGCACTTATTCGTCTTTAAACACAAAAATATCCTCCCATTGAAAAGGGAATGTGCCTTTCACACCATTAGAGAATTTGTGGAGGATCAAAGAATTAGGTACATAAGCCCCTTTATCTGTACCATCACTCATAGCCTTGCAGTAACATTTTATCAAAAGCAACATACTGCTTTGAATGAAACTCAATTACCTTTTCAGGTGAGCAACACACTCGGTGATCCCATTTTCAGGCTTCTAGCAAGAAGTATTTCTCAACCAATGACAAATTATGGCCTATAACAGTCGCACAAGTACACATTTGAATGTATCTAAACTAACTTGGTTTATTCAACTTGATAATCAGTGATTAAAAAGAATGTGTGTTAGTGTGTGTGTATGAGAGACAGCACCTAGAAACCAAAAGAGGGTTCTTAAAGATATTCATACCCCATATCAAGACACTAAAGGAAATCTAATTGCATGCCAATTTTTCAGAATACTTCATTACAGAAGCTCAAGCAGCTATTTGATGTAAACATAAAGATCTAAAAGGCTGTCGAGGAATGATTTGATTCCACAAATCAATCTCAGTGGCAAAGATAAACTCCAAAGAAAAAATTTAGTTATCATACATCCTATAAGCAAAATTAATCATTTGACATCAGCATTCCGGCAAGTACAAAGTACAAAACCAAAGATCACATTCAATGAAGGAACCTGGCGTGTTCTAAAAAAGCACACATTGGTAACAAAACACTCAAAGAAATGCAAATAGACAATCTTTTTTTATAACTGAGAAATCACCAAGGGAGTGCTACATAATTCAAAACTCGAAGGATAATGGGCCGACCCTCCACACCAAGGTCGAACCCGTGATATGCACCTAATCCACACATCACAAGAAGTGATCTTACCACTAGACAAAGACCTGGGGCTCCAAGACAATCTTTTTAAGTAGAATTTCTTTACAGCAGCTGGAATAGCTACTTCATCTAAATCATGTCTCCACAAATCTAATGATACCAGCCGCCCAGATGAATAAAAGATCAAATTTTACCAAGAAATCCAAAGTGCTTCAATAAACCACAAGAGTACAAATTAAAAATCAAAAATTCCTCCACAAAGTGTTCTAAAAAATCGCACACCCGCAACAAGACAGACAAAGAAACACAAACACAAGCCAACCTTCTACACCAGCTGACATAGCTACTTCATCAAAATCATGCTTCCAGAAATCTGATTGTACCAGCCGCTAAGGCATCGAATAAGCACTTTGATTGATATAAGAATCTAAACTTGAGCAAGAACACAAATCAAATATCAAACGAAATCTTAGTAACTCAATTGGTTGACTACCTCAACTTTCACCTTTAGCAAAGGTTCAATTCCCCCACCTTGTAATCCCCTCCTCTGTTTCCCCTTCCCCTACCCCAATAACAAAAAAAAATCATCTTTTTTAAGAAAAAATCAAACATTTAGAACTGAAACTCAAAAGGGTCTTGAAAAATTCCCACACCCTCATCAAAACACTCAATAAAAACACAAAAACATGCCAATTTACATACAATTTCAAATACAACAACTTCTTGATCTAAACAAATCCATGGGGTCAAACAAATCAATATCAGTGTCATACCAACAAAATCAATCAATACCTCAAAATCTTAAATCATTGGGATCAACACTATCAATTCCTTATTTTTTTGGTTTTATTTCATTTAATCACATTTCATTATAGCACTAATCACCATAAATCAAAAAAAGGGTATTAATCAAAGATAAAAAAAACTGACCTTTTTGTTGGAAATCAAGCGCCCACAGAACTCAGAAGAGAAAAGTAATGGAAAACCGCTGCTGCCCTACCTACTATAATAGTGATTTCCATTATTGTAAGAGTTTGTTGTGCTATTTATAGAAACTAATTTCGTCACTATGAAGTATGTACAACCTTTAAGACCAAGAGTACAACTAGTGAAGCGGAAATATTAAAACTGTGAAATTTTGCTCATATTGTTTGCCACGTGGATAGAAGAGTAATGTTTTTGCAAATATTGTTGAAAAAATTGAGGAAAAAAAATATTGAAATTGAAGTTAAACCATTGTTTTGGAATTAGAATTTATTCAGATTTTTTTTTTTGGAATAATATTTTAAGTTAAAATTAAAATAAGGAAATGTTCTTTCGCACTTTGGGTACAAGATCAAAAATTTTGTTCGAGTTGAATAGATGAAGATGAGAAGGTGAAATCTCCTATAGAAAGAATGATTGATTGCTTGAATGTCAAACCGTAAATCTCATTTTTTGCTGCAAAAGTAAAGAAAAACAAAAAAGATAATCGCGGATTAATGCGTGGAAGAATTTCATTTTTAGTAATGTCACTAAACTAAAACGCCTTAGTGGTAGGTTTAAGAGTTTTCTAACTTCATTTTAAGTATAAATAAAACATAAAAGTATGTAATTATATCAAAGAATGTATAAGAAAATCGTTTTTTATGAGTAAATTAAATTTAGCAAACATAAAAATTTAGCGCTCTCTATGGCTACAATTTGATTATTTGCGCTCTTGAAAGATGATTCAACATTGCGATACAAATATGAATCAATTCAACTTCATCCCTCTCCTACCACAGTATTTACATCGCGCATGATTGTTAACAACACATTTTCCTATTCGAAACCTTTTAATCGCCTAAGAGAAACTCGATTATCAATTACGATAAAAGCTCAAATTTGAAACCTCTCATAAAGAAAAGCTTTTTCTATAGTCCCATCAATAAGAATAATAAATAATTTTCATGTGAGAAAATGACACAAGTACAACGCAGCACAAAGTTAAAGCAAAAATATAAAAACCAAAAAAAAAAAAGAGAAATTTCCACTAACTTATTTTAATAATTTTAATAACTTAAAAATGACAACAATACCCTCATCCATTCATCAAATTTACAACACAACACCCCACCCACCACCCTTGACTGCTTCAACAACTTTGAAAATACCAAAAAAAAAAAAAAAAAACTTCAAATTTCCATTTTTAAACTTTGAGAATTTTTGCAGCTTTCACCACTGGATTTTCCTTAGCAATCGCTTCACGACCAGCTGCTTTGTAATCGTAACTACAGTCATGTCGATCGGAATACCTATGCTCCGAGCAGAACACTTCCCCGCACCGGCACCGGAACGGCATCAATCCGACTTTCCTCCGGCAACCTATACCAGAACATCTGTTTGCTTCTCTTTGCCTCTTCACCCCTGTTTTTCTACCAACCAGATCCATACTTTCCGGCGATGCAGCTGATGTAGATCTCGATTGATCATCCATACTAGAAACCTTCAGATCTACTCTCTCCGTCGACGATCTATCAGCACGCTTCAGATCTGAGATAACCGCAACTGAGAGGTGCGTCGTCGTCGTTGTAGGAGGAGACGGTGAAGGTACCGGTAGAGTTGGGGAGCATAGAGGGATGGATTCCGGTACCTTCAGCTCGGTTTCTTCTTTCTCTCTCTTCTGCGCCGCCATGATTGAGAGATTTCTAGAGAGAGAAAATGGAAATGAAATGGGAATTTGGGGTGTTGGGAAGTGTTTGGATGAGGAGTTTTAGAGAGAGAGAAATGGGAAAAAAAGGAGAAGTATATTATAAAGGAGAAATTAGAGATAAAGTCGGTAAAAGGTCGGCCATATAGTTTATTCACGTACTTTTTCTTTTCTTTTTTTTGGAAAAAATCAAAATTATCATATATACATTTTTAAAATAAAATAAAAGTTCGTTGTACTTAACTTATACTCGAAAAAAAAAGTTGAATCAAAGAATGTAAGCTTTTGTTATGTGCGGAATTTGAATGACAAAGGTGTATTATACATGTATTTTGTGTTGTATATACAATTAAATGAAAGTTCATGTATAAATTATTTTTGTGAATTCGAGATAATTATTTAAAGTAAAAATACTTTTATGGTAGAATGAGAAAGTAAGTTAATCGATTTGATTTGATGCATGCACCATCAAAATAATAAATAAATGTGTATTATTAAGTTTGTAAGTTGTAACTATAGTTAATTTACATAATTTTGCACATGTTAAATTAGAATTTTTAGAATGGAAAAGTGTTCATACTCCATGTGTAATTGTTCTTGTGTCTAGATAATAGTAAAATTGAGGGCCATAAATAAGTTTGAGAGTTTTCGAGGTTCATGGCTTTAGATTATTTTTTATTTTTTTTGACAAGGGAAATTTGCAATCGCTGTCCTTTGAGTGCGCACAAGATAAAACCCCTGCTCCTATGTAATAGCTCGCAAACCACATAGGAAAGGTAACCCGCACTAGGCAAGTCCGGTGCGACGAGTTCAACCCAGAAGGCAAAGCCCCTGCTTTCGTTGGCAAGGGGTTTCGAACTTGAGACCTCCAACATGAAAGTCTCAAGCCCAAACCACTGGAAATCATGACTTTAGATATTACTACCATTTGAGCAAGCTTCACTTGTCGCGATTTTATATTCAGAAACCTTTTAGCTATTTGTTTCTTCTTCTTGTGTTTTGACTCTTATGTTGAACTATTTATCTACTTTGTTTCAAATTGTTCACAAGAGAACTTACTAGAAGAGGAAAATGAGGTAATGCAAATAAGGATGATATTGAGTCTATACATATAAGTCGTTAGGTTCACGGGATAAGGTGGACATTAAACTTGGTGTTATGTGGGATAAATTAGTTCGAGGATTATAATCTGTAATCCCGAGATAACTTAGTCCATGAACCAAACGACCCCTGTCTAAATACATTTTTTTGAACACTTTTAAAGAACATGGATATCCCTTCATAAATTTCTCTTCTCAAGGTTGCTCAACTCAACAGTACAAAGAAAAATGTTTGAATTTAACTTTTCAACACTTTTGCTGCATTAGCATATAAAAGGAGCTAATGACAGTTCTTTATGAAACATGTAGGGTAATGCCACTAGGTAGAAAGGTTCAAAACCATAAATCATATGTTGCTCGAGCTCTTCAAAAACATTGTGGGATGTGTCAGATCCTCCAAAAGTAGTACATTTCTGGAGAGTCCAAGCAACGAAATCATGGTCTGAAGTTGTGTCACAAGCATCTTATTTGCAGAAATAATTGAAGTAATCACTCTGATTAGGAATTACTTCTCAACATGATATTCTATAAACTTCAAGACATAATGAACAAGTAAAATAAGCACGAATATTTCAAAGGGCTGGAAATTTTCACCAACATGGATATAGTAAGAATCTACGAAAATTAACAAGACACGAACCAGCCAAGAATCCAGATAATATCCGTCCAAACATATTCATCAACTGATTCTTTCAGCATTGTGAGATAGTAACGCACTAGCTTTTTGTGAAGAGAGCAGATTATGGAAGCAAATTATTCAAAATTTGTGTTTAGAACCAAGAAGATACAGCTTTAGGCATTAAATCAGGTACTTGATAAAGTTGAGCGCGAGTCAGCTTGTTTGAGGAAACCTTTTAATAAAGATAACAGACCCCGTCCACCTGAACAATAGTACCACAAAAACGAAAATCAATTCAATTTTTCACATTTCTATGTATTGCTTTAAACAAACCATGTGAAAAAAAGTGACTCTACTAAAATAAAGAGAGAGTAGAAGAGAGCCTTACCACATCCAGTTGATGAACTTCCTCCTCTATCTGCTATGCTATTAACAGCTAGTGACATATTCCCCAACGGACAATCGATGAAAGCACAAAATGAGACCCTTTAACTAATTCCCGACCAGTTTAGACCAATAATTTAGATTACTCAGCTCCAACTGGCTATCAGAATCTCGCCAAAATTTGATAATATGAAGGCTCTCTTCTTCAGTTGATCTTTGAAGGATAATTCGAGATGCATAACCCTTCTTTCTCATCTCAAGACATATTTCTGAGGGTTTATTAGCAGTAAGCGTGACCATATATAACCAGCCCTTCTCTGACAAAAGATTGTCAGCAGCAGGCAGTATTTTATCAATAACGCTTCGACCATTCTCCCCTCCAGCCCACGCCGAAGTGATGCCTTCAAAACCAACTTCGTCTTCAGGTGTAGGAACATAAGGAGGGTTCACAACCAGCACATCAACTGATCCTGCCAATCGCTTCTCAAGTCCAGATGTAATATCAGTGTTTACCAACTCTGCATAAACCCCATGAGCATCCATGGTCTCACGAGTCACCCTTATTGCATGAGGGTTGATATCTGTTGCAATATAGTATGGAACAAATCCTTCGTGTCCAAGCATAACAGCAAGTGAAGTAATAACATAACCACTACCACAACCAATTTCCATACAAATTGAGGGTTTGTGTTGTAACAAGTTAGTTCGATCAGCTAATAAAGCATCGACCAATGCAAACGAATCATCACATGGTTCATAAACCTCAGGATGTGAACTCACAAGTGGGATTTTCGCAATTCTTGAAAGCATCTTAGATAACTCCTGCCAAATTAAAACATGCTCATAAGGCCTTACCAACAGAGGCTGTTGACACACCTTTCTATCATCTACCACAAATGCCCTTCCGCAGGCTGCAAATTAGCCAAGCCTGAGCACAGGGCCAGGTTTAGTATTGCGGCAGGGGGGAGAGGGTTGTAGTTTTAGACTACTAGTAAGGACAACAAGACAAAACACTCCTACGTACTAACCTACTATCTTATTTCATACCCTCCACACCTTAGATAAGTAAGCTGCAAAACTGCACCAAGTCCTGTATAATCACCTCTCCCCAATATCCTTCAGTCTATCTCTACCTCTCCTGAATCCATCCATAACCAACCTCTACACAATTCGATACAAGCAATAATAATTTGATTCTTGATTTATGGGTCGATACAAGTTGAATAAAAAGGCAAACTTGGTATCTAATGGATATGCAAAGTTGATACCTACAACTAGAAATTCATTCATTCTTGATATAGGGGTGTGAATTCAAGTTACATTAAAAAAAAAATGTAAGCTTGTCACTACACAAACAAGGCGGCTCAACCCTAAAGCCACTAAACGCCCAGAAAATAAGACCTTCAAAATTACAAATCCACCAAAGAACCAAAAACACCCCAAATTCATTTAAAAAAAGGAAGCTCAAATACGAAAACAGATGTTCAACCAAGAGGTAAGATTAAACGAAGAACCAAAAGCACTGAGCAGACAAAAGATGAAGGAGATATATACATAAAAAGAGACAACCAGATCTGATTATGCACATATTTGATTCAATTTTAACTTATGGTTCAATAAAAGTTTATTAAAAAGGCAATCTTTACATACTTGATATATGGTATTCATTCAAATTGAATAAAAAAGTAATCTTGGTACTCAATGAACACAAAAATTTAATACCTGTGATTTGCTGAAACCTCAAAAAAAATTGGAACTTTCAGTATTTTGCTAGAAACAAAAGATTTGTAAGAATTTCAACAAAAAAAAATCGGTTCTTTGTGCTGAAATAAAATGGCGATTGAAGAAGGAGAAGGGAAGATAGTTAATTGTCATTTAGACATACTGAAGTTTAGAAAATGTTCATTTAACCCCCCTAAAGTTTGGATAGTATCTTATGGGACCTTAGAACTTTAAAAAAAAGTTTGGATTAATTTTATAAAATAATTGAGCCAAGAAAAGGTGTATGAATTGATCATGGCTTTCCATTATCTCAAAAATGTTAGTGGAACAGCAACAACCAAATATGTTTGGATTATTTTAAGTATCTAAACTATCAAGTAACTTTCTTAGTTTAGGCTATATAAACTCCTAGTTACTCTATTCTCAAATATACAAGAAAAAGAAAAAAAAAGATTATCTAGGCTAAGAATCAAAATCTTCTAAATGGGAAGTCAAATGAAGAAGCAATGGCTTCATTTTGCTTGTGCTTTGGCATTTTTCTTGATTGCCACATGCACTATGGCATATTCACCTTATTCTTATGAATTATCAGATTCAACATACACTAAAGTACCAACCACAGAAGTCAAAAGTGAAGACTTCAAGGTACCCTCAGAGTCGGAAAAGGAATATAAGGTGTCATTTTTGCCGAAAAATGATTACTTTAAGAAGCCATCAGTTCAAGAAGACGACTACAAGAAGGCGTCATATGTTCCAGAGGTACCCTCAAAGGCTAAACCAGAATATAAGGAGTCATTTTTTCCAAAATTTGACTACTTTAAGAAGCCATCAGTTCAAGAAGACGACTACAAGAAGGCGTCATATGTTCCAGAGGTACCCTCAAAGGCTAAACCAGAATATAAGGAGTCATTTTTTCCAAAATTTGACTACTTCAAGAAGCCATCAGTTTCAGATGATAGCTACAAAAAAGAGTCATATGTTCCAAAGGTACCCTCGATGGCTAAACCAGAATACAAGGAGTCATCTTTTCCAAAATTTGACTATTTCAAGAAGCCATCAGTTTCAGATGATAGCTACAAAAAGGAGTCATATGTTCCAAAGGTACCCTCGATGGCTAAACCAGAATACAAGGAGTCATTTTTACCAAAATTTGACTACTTCAAGAAGCCACCAGTTTCAGAAGATAGCTACAAAAAGGAGTCATATGTTCCAAAGGTACCATCAGTTTCTAAGGAAGAATACAAGGTACCTGTTTTACCTAAGAATGACTACTTTAAGAAGTCATCAGTTCCAGAAGATAGCTATAAAAAGGTGTCATATGTTCCAAAGGTGCCCTCAGTGCCTAAAGAAGAATACAAGGTGCCTTCTTTGCCAAAAAATGATTACTATAACAAGCCATCAGTTCCAAAAGATAACTACAAAACGGTGACATATGTTCCAAAGGTGTCCTCAGTGCCTAAAGAAGAATACAAGGTGTCTTCTTTGCCAAAGAATGATTACTACAAGAAGCCATCAATTCCAGAAGATAACTACAAAAAGGTGTCATATGTTCCAAAGGTGCCCTCACTGCCTAAAGAAGAATACAAGGTGCCTTCTTTGTCAAAGAATGACTATTACAAGAAGCCAACAGTTCCAGAAGATAACTACAAGAAGGTGTCATACGTTTCAGAAGTACCCTCAGTTGCTAAACCCGAATACAAGGTGCCTTCTTTGCCAAAGAATGACTACTACAAGAAGCCATCAGTTCCTGAAGATAACTATAAAAAGGTGTCATTTGTTCCAAAGGTTCCGTCAGTGCCTAAAGAAGAATACAAGATGCCTTCTTTTTCGGAAAACAACTACTACAAGAAGGCATCACCTTCTCCATCACCACCACCTCCATATTATTAAATTTCCATCTTTCATGTTCAACATGTTTCAAGGAAGTCCTCCAGCTCAACATATATAACTCATAGAGTTCTCATATTATGAGTTCTATCTCAAAATTTGTAATTCTTTATTTGTTTTATTTTCCTTTCCCGCTTCGAGTTGCAATTGTTTTGTTATTTAATTAAATTATATTGTATTTTGAATATTTCCAAAAGATTGTTAATTTCAATTAAATACAAGTTCTTTTTATTGAGAGTTTATTTAGTTTCATCTATTTTCTTCCAACATCTGCCAATTTCTTCAATTAAATTTTAATAGAACAACACTGGAAAATAACAACCATCAGATACTTCAAAAATAGGTAACTAAAGGATTGAGTGATTCCAAGAGACAGAGTGCATTTCCAGATATATTACTCGAAAGAATTGTACAATATGTCTAATCGTAAAATGCATTTTATTTATTTTGCAGAAGTTTTGAGCTTCAAGTAGAAATTTTTTAAAATCGGAACTTCTAAAATATGTTGAGAATCTTAAAAAATAAATCTTTAAAAGGATTTGATTGACTTAATTATCTATTTGGTGGGGTTTGATCTTAGGAAATGGAGTAATCTCTCAAAGAACACCTTTTTCCTGGAAATAATGGACCATACACGATGCAAATTTAGAATAATCTTTGTCATTATTTGAATAACAAATAATTAAGCCAAATCAAAAACACTAAATATATTACATTCAAAACAATAGCTTCCAATTTTTCCTGTTTGTATCAAGAACTAATCAAACCTAAGATATTGTTATTCTTTGTAATGAAAAGTATGTATGGTACTCGCAAGGATAAGAGAGGACAAAGATCGATTTATCATGCCAACACTTTTTCAGTCAAATTCGTCGTATTGGACTTGTCTAGAGCAGTTTACATCTCATATATGGTTAGTAAAATATCACATATGAGTGGATTTATTCAGTATGCTCCCGAAGAGTAGAACCTGTGAATTTCTCCGAAAATTTCCAAAAAAAAAAGTATTAAAAAAAAGTGAGTGTGGTTCCACGATATGGATTATAAGTACTCATGCTAATCAAGTACATATAACTAATTAATGGACACCAAATAATGAACAATATTTGTTAGGTCTACACATATCTCAAACTTTTAAAAACAAATTTAATCAAATTTTTAACATTACAGCAAAAAATAAAAAATAAAAAATAAAAAAAATCAAGAACAACATTCTTGGAAGTCAATAAAAAATTGGAATTAAATATTGAAAATAAGTGAGTCCAGCAACTGTGTATGAATTGTTCATGGCTTCCCATTATCTCATAACCTTAATTAGTGGAGGAGCATTAACCAAAAAAAGGGAAAATCACCTTCTTAGTTATGTTATATAGACTCTTAATTCCTCCATTCTAAAACACACAAGAAAAAATAAAAACAAACCAATATCTAGCCTAAGAATCCAATTCTTCTCAATGGGAAGCCAAATGAAGAAGCAATTTGCTTGTGCTTTGGCATTTTTCTTGATTGCCACATGCACTATGGCATATTCACCTTATTCTTATGAATCATCAGATTCAACCTACCATAAAGTACCAACCACAGTAGTCAAAAGTGAAGACTTCAAGGCACCCTCAGAGTCGGAAAAGGAATATAAGGAGTCATTTTTGCCAAAAAATGATTACTACAAGAAGCCATTAGTTTCAGAAGATAACTATAGGAAAGTACTGTCCGTTCCCGAACAGGAATACAAGGTTCCATTCTTGCCAAAGAATGACTACAACAAGAAGCCATCATTTTCAGAAGAAAACTACAAGAAGACGTCAGATGTTCCAGAGGTACCCTCGATGGTTAAACCAAAATATAAGGAGTCATTTTTTCCAAAATTTGACTACTTCAAGAAGCCATCAGTTCCAGAAGATAACTACAAGAAGGCGTCATATGTTCCAGAGGTACCCTCGATGACTAAACCAGAATATAAGGAGTCAATTTTTCCAAAATTTGACTACTTCAAGAAACCATCCGTCCCAGAAGATAACTACAAGAAGGTGTCATATGTTTCAGAAGTACCCACAGTGCCTAAATCGGAATACAAGGTACAATCTTTGCCAAAGAATGACTACTACAAGAAGCCATCAGTTTCAGAAGACAACTACAAGAAGGCGTCATATGTTCCCAAGGAACCCTCGATGGCTAAACCAGAATATAAAGAGTCATTCTTACCAAAATTTGACTACTTTAAGAAGCCATCTGTTTCAGAAGAAAGCTACAACAAAGTACCATATGTTTCAAAGGTGCCCTCAGTTTCTAAAGAAGAATACAAAGTGCCTTCTTTGTCAAAAAATGATTACTACAAGAAGCCATCAGTTCCAGAAGATAACTATGAAAAGGTCTCATATGTTCCAAAGCTACCCTTAGTGCCTAAAGAAGAATACAAAGTGCCTTCTTTGTCAAAGAATGACTACTACAAGAAGCCATCAATTCCAGAAGACAACTACAAAAAAGTGTCATATGTTCCAAAGGTGCCTTCAGTGCCTAAAGAAGAATACAAGGTGCCTTCTTTTCCAAAGAATGAATACTACAAGAAGCCATCAATTCCAGAAGATAACTACAAGAAGGTCTCATCTGTTCCAGAAGTACCCTCAATGCCTAAACCAGAATACAAGGTGCCGTCTCTGCCAAAAAATGACTACTTCAAGAAACCATCACCTTCTCCATCACCACCACCTCCTTACTACCATGAATCATCTTCAACACCTTCTCCATCACCACCTCCTCCATATTATTAAATCTTCATTTTTCAAGTTCAACATGTTTCAAGGAAGTCCTTCTCACGCTCAACATATATGAGTTAGAAGGCATGTTATCAAAATTTGTAATTCTTTATTTGTATTTTGAATATTTCCAGAGGATTGTTTATTTCAATTGAATACAAGTTCTTTTTTATTAAGAGTTAATGTTGTTTTCATCTTTTCTTCCAGCAATTGCCAATTTGCTCACTTACTATTAATAACAAAACTCTGGAACATAACAACCATCAGATATACTTCAAAATTAGGTAACTAAGGATTGGATGATTTCAAGAGACAAGACTAGGGTGCATTTCCAGATATATTACTCAAAAGAATCGACACAATTCGTCTAATCTATTAGAATGGGAAAGAAGAAGAAAAACGGTCTGTATTGTTATAAACATACCATTCTTGAAAGATAAAGAAATAAAGCGAACCAAGTAGTGAATCGTTTTAATCAGATAAAGAGAAATTGGGAGATAAATGTTATATTATTTATGATAAAATGTGCATCTGATCTTATATTGCAGAAGTTTTGAGCTCAAAGTATGAAACTTTTTAAATCCTGAACTTCTAAAATAATATTTTGAGAAGTTTTAAAAAATAATTTGATTGATTCAATTATCTTTTTGGTAGGGTTCAATCCTATGAAATGAAATAATCTCTCATAGAGCACTTTTTCCTATAAATAGACCATACACTACACAAATTTAATCTAAGTCATAAGTTTCAAATAACAGACCCTTAACTAAGCCAACCCAAAAACACTAAATATATGGCGTTAAAAACAATAGTTTTTATTTTTTCCTAGTTGTATCAAGAACTAATCAAACCGAAAATATTGTCATTCTTGATAATGAAAAGTATGTATGGTACTCGCAAAGGTATAAGAGAGGCTAGAGATCGATTTCTTCTGTCAAAGCTTTTTCACTTGATTTGTCACATTGGGCTCGCATAGAACAGTTTACATCTCATGTATTATTGGCAAGATATTTCATATAATCAATTTATCCAATGTTCATCCGAACAGTAGCAACTGTGAATTTCTCTAGAAATTTCCAAAAAAAAATAAGTATGGTCATGATGTGGATTATAAGTCAAGTACATATAACGAATGGACACAAAATAATAAACAATATTTGTTAGGCCTACACATATCTCAACTTTTAAAAACTAATTTAATCAAAATTTTAATATGCGAACAAAAACACGAGAACAAAATTCTTAAAATTCAATAAAAAAAAATTGGATTTAAATATTGAAAAATAGGCAAGTCCAGCAACTGTGTATGAATTGTTCATGGCTTCCCATTATCTCATAACCTTAATTAGTGGAAGAGCATTAACCAAAAAAAGGGAAAATCACCTTCTTGGTTATGTTATAGAAACTCTTAATTCCTCCATTCTAAAACACACAAGAAAAATAAAAACAAACCAATATATAGTCTTAGAATCCAATTCTTCTCAATGGGAAGCCAAATGAAGAAGCAATTTGCTTGTGCTTTGGCATTTTTCTTGATTGCCACATGCACTATGGCATATTCACCTTATTCTTATGAATCATCAGATTCAACCTACCATAAAGTACCAACCACAGTAGTCAAAAGTGAAGACTTCAAGGCACCCTCAGAGTCGGAAAAGGAATATAAGGAGTCATTTTTGCCAAAAAATGATTACTACAAGAAGCCATTAGTTTCAGAAGATAACTATAGGAAAGTACCGTCCGTTCCCGAACAGGAATACAAGGTTCCATTCTTGCCAAAGAATGACTACAACAAGAAGCCATCATTTTCAGAAGAAAACTACAAGAAGACGTCAGATGTTCCAGAGGTACCCTCGATGGTTAAACCAGAATATAAGGAGTCATTTTTTCCAAAATTTGACTACTTCAAGAAGCCATCAGTTCCAGAAGATAACTACAAGAAGGCGTCATATGTTCCAGAGGTACCCTCGATGACTAAACCAGAATATAAGGAGTCAATTTTTCCAAAATTTGACTACTTCAAGAAACCATCCGTCCCAGAAGATAACTACAAGAAGGTGTCATATGTTTCAGAAGTACCCACAGTGCCTAAATCGGAATACAAGGTACAATCTTTGCCAAAGAATGACTACTACAAGAAGCCATCAGTTTCAGAAGACAACTACAAGAAGGCGTCATATGTTCCCAAGGAACCCTCGATGGCTAAACCAGAATATAAAGAGTCATTCTTACCAAAATTTGACTACTTTAAGAAGCCATCTGTTTCAGAAGAAAGCTACAACAAAGTACCATATGTTTCAAAGGTGCCCTCAGTTTCTAAAGAAGAATACAAAGTGCCTTCTTTGTCAAAAAATGATTACTACAAGAAGCCATCAGTTCCAGAAGATAACTATGAAAAGGTCTCATATGTTCCAAAGCTACCCTCAGTGCCTAAAGAAGAATACAAGGTGCCTTCTTTGTCAAAGAATGACTACTACAAGAAGCCATCAATTCCAAAAGACAACTACAAAAAAGTGTCATATGTTCCAAAGGTGCCTTCAGTGCCTAAAGAAGAATACAAGGTGCCTTCTTTGCCAAAGAATGAATACTACAAGAAGCCATCAACTCCAGAAGATAACTACAAGAAGGTCTCATCTGTTCCAGAAGTACCCTCAATGCCTAAACCAGAATACAAGGTGCCGTCTCTGCCAAAAAATGACTACTTCAAGAAACCATCACCTTCTCCATCACCACCACCTCCTTATTACCATGAATCATCTTCAACACCTTCTCCATCACCACCTCCTCCATATTATTAAATCTTCATTTTTCAAGTTCAACATGTTTCAAGGAAGTCCTTCTCACGCTCAACATATATGAGTTAGAAGGCATGTTATCAAAATTTGTAATTCTTTATTTGTATTTTGAATATTTCCAGAGGATTGTTTATTTCAATTGAATACAAGTTCTTTTTTATTAAGAGTTAATGTTGTTTTCATCTTTTCTTCCAGCAATTGCCAATTTGCTCACTTACTATTAATAACAAAACTCTGGAACATAACAACCATCAGATATACTTCAAAATTAGGTAACTAAGGATTGGATGATTTCAAGAGACAAGAGTAGGGTGCACCTCCAGATATATTACTCAAAAGAATCGACACAATTCGTCTAATCTATTAGAATTGGGAAAGAAGAAGAAAAACGGCCTCTATTGTTATAAACATACAATTCTTGAGAGATAAAGAAATAAAGCTAATCAAGTAGTGAATCGTTTTAATCAAATAAATAGGAATTGGGAGATAAATGTTACACTATTTATGATAAAATGTGCATTTGATCTATATTGCAGAAGTTTTGAGCTCAAAGTATGAAACTTTTTAAATCCAGAACTTCTAAATTAATGTTTTGAGAAATTATAAAAAATAATTTGATTGATTCAATTATCTTTTTGGTAGGGTTCGATCCTATGGAATGAAATAATCTCTCATAGAGCAGTTTTTTCTTAGAAATAGACCATACATGACGTAAATTTGGATTAATCTGAGTCAATAAGTTCCAAATAACAGACAATTAACTAAGCCAATCCAAAAACATTAAATATATGACGTTAAAAACAATAGCTTCCAAATGTTCATGTTTGTATCAAGAACTAATCAAACCCAAGATATTGTTATTCTTAGTAATGAAAAGTATGTATGGTACTCTAAGAGAGGACAGAGGTCGATTTATTCTGCCAATGCTTTTTCAATCAAATTCTTCATATCAGACTTATCTAGAACAGTTTGCATCTCATATATGATTTTCAAGATATTACATGTAAGCAAATTTATTCCGTGTGCATTCGAAGAGTAACTGTGAATTTCTTTGAAAATTTCTAAAAATAAAAATATTTTTTTAAAAAAAATTAAGTGTGGTGCCATGATGTGGATTATAAGTACTCGTGCTAAACAAGTACATATAACTAATGGACACCAAATTAAATAATGGACAATATTAGTTAGGTCTACACATATCTCAACTTTTAAAAACAAATTGAATCAAATTTTTAACATTCCAACAAAAAATAATAATAACTTTCTTGGAAGTCAATAAAAAATTGGATTTAAATATTGAAACTAAGTGAGTCCAGCAAATATGTATGAATTGTTCATGGCTTCCCATTATCTCAAAACCTTAATTAGTGGAACAGCAATAACCAAAAAATGGCAAAATCTTTGATATGTTTGGATTATTTAATTTTGAGAGCATCCAAATCATCAAATGATCACTATTTAATTATGTTATATAAACTCCTAATTCCTCCATTCTAAAACACACAAGAAAAAGAAAAACAAACCAATATCTAGCCTTAGAATCCAATTCTTCTCAATGGGAAGCCAAATAAAGAAGCAATTTGCTTGTGCTTTGGCCTTTTTCTTGATTGCCACATGCACTATGGCATATTCACCTTATTCTTATGAATCATCAGATTCAACATACAGTAAAGTACCAACCACAGTAGTCAAAAGTGAAGACTTCAAGGCACCCTCAGAGTCGGAAAAGGAATATAAGGAGTCATTTTTGCCAAAAAATGATTACTACAAGAAGCCATTAGTTTCAGAAGATAACTATAGGAAAGTATCGTCCGTTCCCGAACAGGAATACAAGGTTCCATTCTTGCCAAAGAATGACTACAACAAGAAGCCATCATTTTCAGAAGAAAACTACAAGAAGACGTCAGATGTTCCAAAGGTACCCTCGATGGTTAAACCAGAATATAAGGAGTCATTTTTTCCAAAATTTGACTACTTTAAGAAGCCATCAGTTCCAGAAAATAACTACAAAAAGGCGTCATATGTTCCAGAGGTACCCTCGATGACTAAACCAGAATATAAGGAGTCATTTTTTTCCAAAATTTGACTACTTCAAGAAGCCATCAGTTCCAGAAGATAACTACAAGAAGGTGTCATATGTTTCAGAAGTACCCACAATGCCTAAATCGGAATACAAGGTACCATCTTTCCCAAAGAATGACTACTACAAGAAACCATCAATTTCAGAAGACAACTATAAGAAGGCGTCATATGTTCCCGAGGAACCCTCGATGGCTAAACCAGAATATAAAGAGTCATTCTTACCAAAATTTGACTACTTTAAGAAGCCATCTATTTCACAAGATAGCTACAAAAAAGTACCATATGTTTCAAAGGTGCCCTCAGTTCCTAAAGAAGAATATGAAGTGCCTTTTTTGTCAAAAAATGATTACTACAATAAACCATCAGTTCCAGAAGATAACTATGAAAGGGTGCCATATGTTCCAAAGCTACCCTCAGTGCCTAAAGAAGAATACAAGGTGCCTTCTTTGTCAAAGAATGACTATTACAAGAAGCCATCAATTCCAGAAGACAGCTACAAAAAAGTGTCATATGTTCCAAAGGTGACTTCAGTGCCTAAAGAAGAATACAAGGTGCCTTCTTTGCCAAAGAATGAATACTACAAGAAGCCATCAATTCCAGAAGATAACTACAAGAAGGTCTCATCTGTTCCAGAAGTACCCTCAATGTCTAAACTAGAATACAAGGTGCCATCTCTGCCAAAAAATGACTACTTCAAGAAACCAACACCTTCTCCATCACCACCACCTCCTTACTACCATGAATCATCTTCAACACCTTCTCCATCACCACCTCCTCCATACTATTAAATCTTCATTTTTCACGTTCAACATGTTTCAAGGAAGTCCTTCTCACGCTCAACATATATGAGTTAGAAGGCATGTTATCAAAATTTGTAATTCTTTATTTGTATTTTGAATATTTCCAGAGGATTGTTTATTTCAATTGAATACAAGTTCTTTTTATTAAGATTTTGTGTTGTTTTCATCTATTCTTCCATCAATCGCCAATTTGTTCACTTACTATTAATAACAACCATCAGATACTTAAAAATATAGGTTACTAAGGATTGGAAAGTAGAAGAAAAACGATCTCTATTGTTATAAACATACAATTCTTGAGAACTAGGTAGTGAATCATTTTAATCAAATAAAGAGTAATTGGGAGATAAATGTTACACCATTTATGATAAAATGTGCATTTGATCTATATAGCAGAAGTTTTGAGCTCAAAATATGCAACTTTTTAAATCCAGAACTTCTAAAATAAAACTTTGAGAAATTTTAAAAGATAATATTGTTGACTCAATTATCTTTTTGGTAGGATTTGATCCTATATGGAATGAAATAATCTCTCATAGAGCAGTTGTTTCCTAGAAAAAGATCATACACCACATGAATTTGGATTAATCTAAGTCAATAAGTTTCAAATAATAGACAATTAACTAAGTTGACCCAAAAACATTAAATATATGACGTTAAAAACAATAATAGCTTCTAATTTTTCCTCTTTGTATCAAGAACTAATCAAATCCAAAATTCTTGATAATGAAAAGCATATGTATGGTACTCGCAAGGGTAAGAGAGGCCAGAGATTGATTTCTTCTGCCAAATCTTTTTCACTTGATTTGTCACATTGGTCTCGCCTAAAGCAGTTTACATTTCACGTATGATTTGCAAGATGTAGCCGAACAGTAGCAACTATGAATTTCTTAGGAAATTTCCAAACAAAAAAAATATAAATATGCTGTCATGGATTATAAATCGTGCTAAACAAGTACATATAACTAATGGACACCAAATAATGAACAATATTTGTTAGGCAGACACATATCTCAACTTTTAAAAACTAATTTAATCAAATTTTTAATATGCCAACAAAAACACAAGAACAACATTCTTAAAATTCAATAAAAAAATTGGATTTAAATGTTGAAAATAGGTAAGTCCAGCAACTGTGTATGAATTGTTCATGGCATCCCACTATCTCATAACCATAATTAGTGGAAGAGCATTAACAAAAAAAATGGGAAAATCAAATTCTTAGTTATGTTATATAAACTCTTAATTCCTCCATTCTAAAACACACAAGAAAAATAAAAACAAACCAATATATAGCCTTAGAATCCAATTCTTCTCAATGGGAAGCCAAATGAAGAAGCAATTTGCTTGTGCTTTGGCCTTTTTCTTAATTGCCACATGCACTATGGCATATTCACCTTATTCTTATGAATCATCAGATTCAACATACAGTAAAGTACCAACCACAGTAGTCAAAACTGAAGACTTCAAGGCACCCTCAAAGTCAGAAAAGGAATATAAGGAGTCATTTTTGCCAAAAAATGATTACTACAAGAAGTCATTAGTTTCAGAAGATAACTATAAGAAAGTACCATCTGTTTCCGAACAGGAATACAAGGTGCCATTATTGCCAAAGAATGACTACAACAAGAAACCATCATATTCAGAAGATAACTACAAGAAGGTGTCATATGTTCCAGAGGTACCCTCGATGGCTAAACCAGAATATAAGGAGTCATTTTTTCCAAAATTTGACTACTTCAAGAAGCCATCAGTTCCAGAAGATAACTACAAGAAGGCGTCAAATGTTCCAGAGGTACCCTCGATGGCTAAACCAGAATATAAAGAGTCATTTTTGCCAAAATTTGACTACTTTAAGAAGTCATCAGTTTCAAAAGACAACTACAAAAAGGTCCCATATGTTCCAAAGGTGCCCTCAGTGCCTAAAGAAGAATACAAAGCGTCTTCTTTGCCAAAGAATGATTACTACAAAAGGCCATCAACTTCAGAAGATAACTACAAAAAGGTGTCATTTGTTCCGAAGGTGCCCTCAGTGCCTAAAGAAGAATATGAGGTGTCTTATTTGCCAAAGAATAACGATTACAAGAAGCCATCAATTCCAGAAGATAACTACAAGAAGGTGTCATATGTTCCAAAAGTACCCTTAGTGCCTAAACCAGAATACAAGGTGCCTTCTTTATCAAAAAACGATAACTACAAGAAGTCAACCATTCCAGAAGATAGCTACAAGAAGGTGTCATATGTTCCAGAGGTACCCTCAGTTGCTAAACCTGAATACAAGGTGCCTTCTTTGCCAAAGAATGACTACTACAAGAAGCCATCAGTTCATGAAAATAACTACAAGAAGGTGCCATCTGTTCCAGAGGTACCCTCAGTTGCTAAACCCGAATACAAGGTGCCTTCTTTGCCAAAAAGTGACTACTACAAGAATCCATTACCATCTCCATCACCACCACCTCCATATTATTAAATTTCCATCTTTTATGTTGAACTTTCATTTAAGTCCTTCTCCAGCTCAACATATATAACCCATAGGGTTCTCATATTATGAGTTAGAAGGCATGATATCAAAATTTGTAGTTCTTTATTTATTTATTTATTTTCTTTCCCTACTTCGGATTGTAATTGTTTTGTCATTTAATTATATTTTGAATGTTTTCAGAGATTTATTTCAATTGAATAAAAATTCTTTTTATTGAAAGTTTATGAATTCATATGGATTAGTCAGGCTTCAATATTACGAATATCGAACACTAGAATATGAGAAATCAACTCTATAAAATGTACATAGGTTAATCTATTTTTCCAGCAATTATTAATTTCTTTACATAAATTTAATAGCAAAACACCGGAACATAACAACCATATTCAGAAACTTCAAGATACATATTCAACGTTACCAAAACAACAAATAAAATTAGAGAAAATAATGAAGTTGGATGAAAGATACAAACAATATTTTTTATTAATTAGTGTCATTGAGTAATTACTTTATCCAATGAATATGCAGTTACTCAACTAATAATTATTCGTTCAAAAATCACTTTTTTGTTAAAGAAAGTTGAAATCAAGAAAAAAGATGACTTTCTTAGATAATCACTATTAATAATTCAATGACCATATGAGAAATCAACCAGTAAAAATATCCTTTTTTGGTCTATGTTGTACTCCCTCCGTCCCATTTTATATGTCATCCCTTTCTATAAATAGTTAGACCACAATACTTGTCATTTTATAAAATTTATTCATAAATTACCATATTTTACCTATTATACCCTTGATAGAATAGTTAATAATAAAGTTGACTTAAGAAACATTAAATAAGGGTAGAAGGATAAAGTTACATCATTTCTTCATGCAAGTGCAAAGTAAAAAGGTGACATATAAAATTGGACGGAGGGAGTATTATATTAAAGTTACATAATTTCCGGTCATGGATCATTTTTATCAGATTAAGAGAAATCGGAGCAGGGATAAATGTTAAAATATTTCACTACTCACGATAAAAATGTTATGTACGGATGATGAAATATAAGAATCGACGATTTAATATATGATAATACTGGATATAAATAGCTCCCATCGAATCCAAAATATTTGGTCAATATAAGTCGTGCTCAAAGCATCAAAACTTGTGGACCCAACTAATTTTGATCATGACATCAAATAATGATCAATATTTGTTAGGCATATATATAATACATATTTCAATTTTAAAATTTTATTTAATCAAATTATCAATGTACCAACAAAAAAGATATAGAACAACATTATTGGAATAGTCAATAAAAGTTTAGACTTCATTTTTAAAAATAAGTGAGTTAATCAAATGTGTATAAATTGTTCATGGCTACCCATTATCTCAAGACCTTAGTGGAACAGCATTAACCAAAAAATGAGAAAATCAAAAATATGTTTGGATTATTTTGATAGCATCCAAATCATCTAATCATCTTTTTAGTTAAGCTATATAAACTCCTAGTTCCTCCATCCTAAAACACACAACAAAAAAGAAAAACAAATAGCCATCTAGCCTTATTAAGAATCCAAATCTTCTCAATGGGAAGCCAAATGAAGAAACTATTTGCTTGTGCTTTGGCATTTTTCTTGATTGCCACATGCACTATGGCATATTCACCATATTCTTATGAATCATCAGATTCAACATACAATAAAGTACCAACCACAATAGTCAAAAGTGAAAATTTCAAGGCACCCTCAGTGCTTGAAAATGAATATAAGACATCAATTTTGCCGAAGAATGACTACATCAAGAAGTCATCAGTTTCAGAAGATAACTATAAGAAAGTAACAACAGTTCCTGAACAAGAATACAAGGTGCCCTCAATGCCTAAACAAGAATACGAGTTGCCATCTTTGCCTAAGAACGACTACTTCAAGAAGCCATCAATTCCAGAAGATAACTACAAGAAGGTGTCATACGTTCCAGAGGCAGAATACAAGGAGTCATTTTTGCCAAAATTTGACTTCTTTAAGAAGCCATCAGTTTCAGAAGAAAGCTACAAAAAGGTGTCATATGTTCCAAAGGTTGCCTCAGTGCCTAAAGAAGAATACAAGGTGTCTTCTTTTCCAAAGAATGACTACTTTGAGAAGCCATCAGTTCCAGAAGACAACTACAAGAAGTCGTCATATGTTTCAGAGGTACCCTCGATGGCTAAACCAGAATATAAGGAGTCATTTTTGTCAAAATTTGACTACTTTAAGAAGCCATCAGTTCTAGAAGACAACTACAAGAAGACGTCGTATGCTCCAGAGGTACCATCGATGGCTAAGCCAGAATATAAAGAGTCATTTTTGCCAAAATTTGACTACTTTAAGAAGTCATCAGTTCCAGAAGACAACTACAATAAGAAGGAGTCATATGCTCCAAAGGTACCCTCGGTGCCTAAAGAAGAATACAAGGTGTCTTCTTTGTCAAAGACTGACTACTACAAGAAGCCACTAGTTCCAGAAGACAACTACAAGAAGGTGTCATATGTTCCAAAGGTGCCCTCAGTGCCTAAGGAAGAATACAAGGTGCCTGTTTTGCCTAAGAATGACTACTACAAGAAGCCATCTGTTCCAGAAGATAACTACAAACAGGTTCCTTCAGTACCTAAATCAGAATATAAGGTGTCGTCTTTGCCAAAAAGTGACTACTTCAAGAAACCATCACCTTCTCCATCACCACCACCTCCGTATTATTAATTTTCCATCTTTCATGTTCAACATGCATTGTTTCATTTAAGTCCTTCTCCATCTCAACATATATAGCCCATAGGGTTATCATATTTTGAGTTAGAAGGCATGATATCAAAATTTGTAATTCTTTATTTGATTTTTTTTTCTCTTCCTATTTCGGATTGTAGTTGTATTGTCATTTAAATCCTAGAGATTTATTTCAATTGAATACTTTCTTTTTATTGAATGTTTATAATATAGATTCATCTTTTCTTCCAGCAATTGCCATTTAATTTCTTCACATAAATTTAATCAGTGAGGATTTCGTGATTCCATGTTACCAAAACAACAAGCAAAAGAAAGAAAATAATAATTGTTGCAAGTGTCATTATATTGAGTTACATTATACTTTCAAAAATGCTCTCCCTTTTTATTTTTTTTGGGCACATTTGATTTAAATTACATAATTGCCAGCCGTAAATCATTTTGATCAGATAAAAGATATTAAATATTTTTAGCTGTTTTAGATTACTACTTAATATATAAAAGCATTTAGCGGCAGTTAGGTGAATTAAGCGGTGATTATCTAAATACCAATAGTTAAACCAAAACATAAAATTAATATAGGGTTGTTCATGGTTATGGTTAAAAAACCAAATCGAACCACAATCCGAACTAAACCGATATTTGGTTTGATTTAGTTAGGTTTGGTTTTAAATTTTGAAAAATCGATATTATTTGGTTTGGTTTTGGCTTTACTAAAAAATAACTGCAAAAATAACCAAATCGAACCGATAAATTATATATAAAAATTTTATAATTATTTATATATTATTCATAAATAAAATATAAATATTTTGTTAAATTTTAAGTAACTTAAGTCTTTAACTTTACTAATTTCTCAAGTCCAACACTTAAAATTTTAGCCCATCTATTACAATCATAAGTCCAAGTCCATCAAAATTCATTACTTTAGTCTTTACCTACCATACCTTTCATAAGATAGTTACACCTTCTCTTAATTGAATCATTTTGTTCGTGTAATGATAACTTGAGTATTGTTTAATTGCTAAATTGAACCAACAATAGTTTTTCAGTGGATTATTCATGTACTAGGTGTTTGTGTCTATCAAGATACGTATGTCCTCAAAAATCTATTATATTCAAACTGAAAAAACCAGAAAAACTGAACCAAACCGTCAATAACCAAACTGACGGTTATTTTTTTCGTTTGGTTTATTTTAGATATTTAAAAAACCGACTAGGTTAGTTTGATTTTGATTTTACACAATAACCGATCCAAATCGAATCACGAACACCCCTAATTATTAATACGTGAATTTAGCGGTTGTTTATGTGCATTTAACGACAACAGTTTATGGGAATTTGGTGTCATTTAGGTGAGTGCAACAAGTATTTTGATGAATTTAGCGACGATTAAGGTGAATTACTAGCAATTTAGGGGAATAATTTAGCAATGATTTATCTAAATACGAAATAGTTAAACTAAACATATAATTAATTATATGATCTATATTAGAAACAATAATTTCCAATATATTGTCATTCTTGGTGTTGTACAGCATGTATAAGGTATGGTCCCATGATGTGAATTTTAAGTCGTGCTCAAAGTATCAATCAAATACATATAACTTTTCACTCAACATAATGAATAATATTTATTAGGCCAACAGCATATATATTTCAACTTTAAAAATTCTATCCAAGTCAAATTTTCAACGTACCAAAATAATAATAATAAATAAGAAGAACAACATTCTTGGAAGTCGATTGGACTTAATTTTCAATGAACCAACAAAAATTGTTCATGGCTTCCCATGACTTTAGTGGCACAGCATTAACCAAAAAAATTGGAAAATCTCTGATTTGTTTGGATTAATTTGAGAGCATCCAAATCACCTTAAGCTATATAAACTCCTAATGCCTCCATTCTAAAACACACAAGAAAAAGAAAAATATAACCATCTAGCCTTAAAATACAAATCTTCTCAATGGAAAGTCAAATGGAGAAGCAATTTGCTTGTGCTTTGGCATTTTTCTTGATTGCCACATGCACTATGGCATATTCACCTTATTCTTATGATTCAACATACAATAAAATACCAACCACAGTAGCTAAAAGTGAAGATTACAAGTTACCCTCAGTGCCTAAAGAGGAATACAAGGTGCCTTCTTTGCCAGAGAATGACTTCTACAAGAAGTTATCAGTTCCAGAAGATAACTATAATAAGAAGGTGCCATCAATTTCAAAGGATAACGACTACAAGGAACCCTCAATGCCTAAAGAGGAATACAAGATGCCTTCTTTACCAAAGAATGACTACAAGAAACCATCAGTTCAAGAAGATAACTACAAGAAGGTGCCAACTGTTTCAGAGGTACCCTCAGTGCCTAAACCAGAATACAAGGTGCCGTCTTTGCCAAAAAATGACCACTACAAGAAACCATCAGTTCCAGAAGATAACTACAAGAAGCTGCCATTTGTTTCAGAGGTACACTCAGTTCCTAAAGAGGAATACAAGATGCCTTCTTTACCAAAGAATAACTACAAGAAACCATCAGTTCAAGAAGATAACTACAAGAAGGTACCAACTGTTCCAAAGATACCCTTAGTGCCTAAACCAGACTACAAGGTGTCGTCTTTGCCAAAAACTGACCACTACAAGAAAACATCAGTTCCAGAAGATAACTACAAGAAGGTGTCATTTGTTTCAGAGGTACCCTCAGTGCCTAAAGAGGAATACAAGATGCCTTCTTTACCAAAGAATAACTACAAGAAACCATCAGTTCAAGAAGATAACTACAAGAAGGTGCCAACTGTTCCAGAGGTACCCTTGGTGGCTAAACCAGAATACAAAGTGTCGTCTTTGCCAAAAAATGACTACTACAAGAAAGCATCAGTTCCAGAAAATAACTACAAGAAGGTGTCATCTGTTTCAGAGGTACCCTTAGTGCCTAAACAGGAATACAAGGTGCCTTCTTTGCTAAAGAATGACTACTACAAGAAGCCATCAATTCCAGAAGATAACTATAGGAAGGTGTCATATGTTCCAGAGGTACCCTCAGTGCCTAAACACGAATACAAAGTGCCTTATTTGCCAAAGAATGACTATTACAAAAAGCCATCAGTTCCAGAAGATAACTACAAGAAGGTGCCATCTGTTCCAGAGGTACCCTCAGTGCCTAAACAGGAATATAAAGTGTCTTCTTTGCCTAAGAATGACTACTACAAGAAGTCATTCGTTCCAGAAGATAACTATAAAAGGGTGCCATCAGTTTCAACAGATAATGACTACAAGGTACCCTCAGTACCTAAACAAGAATACAAGATGTCTTCTTTGCCAAAGAATGACTACAAAAAACCATCAATTCCAGAAGATAACTACAAGAAGGTGCCAACTGTTTCAGAGATACCCTTAGTGCCTAAACCAAAATACGAGATGCCGTCTTTCCCAAAAATGGACTACTTCAAGAAACCATCACCTTCTCCATCACCACCACCTCCATATTACTAAATTTTCATCTCTCATGTTCAATATGTTTCAATGAAGTCCTTCTCCAGCCCAACATATATAACCCATAGGGTTCTCATATTATGAGTTCGAAGGCATGATATCAATGCCTATCAAAATTTGTAATTCTTTATTCGTTTTCTTTTTCTTTTCTTTCCTACTTCGAGTTGCAATTGTTTTTTCATTTAAATTCTATTTTGAATGTATCCAGAGATTTATGTCAACTGAATACAAGTTTTTTTAATTTTATTGAAAGATTGTACCTATAGATTCCCAATTCTTGCAGCAATTGTCAATTAATTTCTCATAAACTTAATAGCAAAATAACAGCCATCACTGAGGATTTGGTGATTCCAATACCAAGAGTAGAGTGGCCGGCATTTCATGTTACCAAAACAACAAGCAAAATAAAGAAAGAAAATTCAATATTTGTAAGTGTCATTGAGTTACATTATACAGTATAAAAATAGGAAAAATTACCTAAATACGTAACTTATTTTACTATATTCTCTAAAATTTTCTATCATTTGAAAACATTACAAAAATTCCTACTCTCTCCTATTCTCGTATACATCACTCTACACGATATATCGATCGGATACATCACTCTACGCGATATATCAAGACATTGAGTGATGTATCCGAAACCGAGACGCTATGTATCGAGATGTTAAGGGATGTATCCGAACCGGTACGCGATGTATCAGAACATTTTGATATGTATACGGATTTCACCAAATTTAAGAAATTTTTGTAATTTGAAAAAGAGTAGAGATAAAGATGTAATTAGCTCTTATCAGAGATTTTGTTAAATTTCCATAAAAATGCCCTTCCTTTTTAATTTTTTTGGGCTCATTTGATTTATTACAGCATTGTCAGTTGTAAATCATTTTGATCTGATAACATATTAATAATTTTTTTAGCTTTGGTTTAGATTTCTACTTCAAATATAAAAGCATTTAACGGCGGTTAATAGGTGAATATTAGCGGCGATTAAGGTGAATTTACTAACAGTTTAAATGAATTTAGCCATGGTTTATCTAAATACCAGATAGTAAACCAAACATAAAATTAAATAAATGGATATTTGAAATAATAGCTTCCAATATATTATCATTCTTGGAGATGCAAAGTATGTATAATGATGAGAAGTTTAAGTCGTGCTCAAAGAATCAAAAGTACATATAACAAATGGACAAATATTTATTATTAGGCCAACAACATATATATTATTTAATCAAATATCCAATGTACCAACAAAAGGGAACAAGAGCAACATTCTTGGAAGTCAATAAAAGATTGGAATTAATTTTTTAAAAATAGGTAAGTCGATATTGTTCATGGCTTTCCATTATATATCTCAAGACCTTAGTGGAATAGCATTAACCAAAAAAATGGGAAAATCTTTGATATGTTTGGACTAATTGGTAGCATTCAAATCATCAAGTCACCATCTTAGTTGAGCTATATAAACTCCTATTTCCTCCATTCAAGAATACACAAGAAAAACAAAAACATAACAACTATCTAGCCTTAATTAGAATTCAAATATTCTGGATGGGTAGCCAAATGAAGAAGCAGTGGCCTCAATTTGCTTGTGCTTTGACATTTTTCTTGATTGCCACTTCTACTATGGCATACTCACCTTATTCTTATGAATCAACGGATACAACATACAATAAAGTACCAACTACAGTAGCCAAAAGTGAGGAATTCAAGGTACCCTCAGTGCCAAAGAATGATTACTACAAGAAGCCATTAGTTTCAAAAGATAACTACAAGAAAGTACCCTCAGTTCCTGAACAGGAATACAAGGTGCCCTCTGTGCCTAAACATGAATATAAGGTGTCATCTTTGCCAAAGAATGATTACTACAAGAAGCCATCAAGTCCGGAAGATAACTACAAGAAGGTGTCATATGTTCCAAAGGTACCCTCAACACCTAAACATGAATACAAGGTGCCTTCTTTGCCAAAGGATGACTATTACAAGAAACCATCAGTTCAAGAAGATAACTACAAGAAGGTGTCATCTGTTCCAGAGGTACCCTCTGTACCTAAACAAGAATACACGGTGCCTTCTTTGCCAAAGAATGGCTATTACAAGAAACCATCAGTTCCAGAAGATAACTACAAGAAGGTGTCATATGTTTCAGAGGTACCCTCAGTACCTAAACCAGAATATAAGGTGTCATTTTTGCCAAAGGATGACTATTACAAGAAACCATCAGTTTCAAAAGATAACTACAAGAAGGTGTCATTTGTTTTAGAGGTACCCTCAGCACCTAAACATGAATACAAGGTGCCTTCTTTTCCAAAGAATGACTATTACAAGAAACCATCAGTTCAAGAAGATAACTACAAGAGGGTGTCATCTGTTCCAGAGGTACCCTCAGTACCTAAACAAGAATACAAGGTGCCTTCTTTGCCAAAGAATGACTATTACAAGAAACCATCAGTTCCAGAAGATAACTACAAGAAGGTGTCATCTGTTCCAGAGATACCCTCAGTACCTAAACCAGAATACAAGGTGCCTTCTTTGCCAAAAAATGACTATTATAAGAAACCATCAGTTCCAAAAGATAACTACAAGAAGGTGTCATTTGTTCCAGAGGTACCCTCAGTACCTAAACAAGAATACAAGGTGTCTTCTTTGCCAAAGAATGACTATTACAAAAAACCAGCTCCAGAAGATAACTACAAGAAGGTCCCATCTATTCCAGAGGTACCCTTAGTGCCTAAATCAGAATACAAGGTGCCTTCTTTTCCAAAAAAATGACTACTTCAAGAAACCATCACCTTCTCCATCACCACCTCCTCCTTACTACCATGAATCATCTTCAACTCCTTCCCCATCACCACCACCTCCATATTATTAAATTTTCATCTTTCACATGTTCAACATGTTTCAAGGAAATCCCTCTTTCAGGTGAACCTACATAACCAAAATGGTTCTCATATTATGAGTTGAACGCATTCGTAATCTTTATATATATTTTTTTTCTTTTTCCGACCTTAACTTGGGTTGCAATTGTCTTGTCATTTCATTAACTTTTATTGTATTTTGTATGTTTCCACATAATTGTTCAATTGAATATTATGAGTTCAAAGGCATGATATCAAAGCTCTTTTTTTATTGAGAATTTATGTAGTTTCATCTATTCTTCCAGCAATTGTGAATTTGTTCACTTACTATATTAATAGCAAAACAATGAAATATACAATTTATGGGAGATAAGAAAATAAAGTGAACCAAATATTGAATCATTTTAATATGGGAGACAAAATATAATGTTAGACTACTTACTATAAAATGCTATGGATTTAATTAATTTCTGCACCCCTTCATATAATAAAGCAATATTTAGTGGCAATTTAAGTGCATTAGCGATTAATTGGATTACCACCTTGCGATATTAAAATTTTAGAGGCAATTATTGGTGCATTTTATGGTTATTTAGCGGTGGTTTACATGTGTTTCGCGGCGGTGTAGGTGAATTAATTAGTGGTAATTATTATTTTAATAAATAAATTATTATTTTAATTGATTTCTCCTACAATAGTCGACCAATTTGGCATTTTAATGGTCAAGTTTGGTTTTATATATTTCAACTACTCAAAAATAGAATTTTTAAAAACTATATGATATATATTTTTTAAAATCGGGACTTTTAAAATATTATGAGGAAAAATAAAAAATAGTCTTTAAGAAAAATTGATTGACTCAAAACTTGATGTAAGTAAGGTTTGATCCCGGGAAATAGATTAATCTCTCGTAGAGAACTTCTTCCCCTTAAAATGAATCATACATGATGGCAAGTTTAGATTAATCTGAATCAATAAATTCCGAATAAACAAAAATTATTAAACCAAATTAAAAAATTTAATATTTATGACATTGGAAACAATAACTTCCAATTTTTCATATTTGTATCAAAACCTAATCAAACACAAAATAATATTGTATGGTTAATGGTCCCATGATGTGAATTATAAGTCGTGCTCAAAGCATCTAAACTACATAAAACTAATGGACAATATTTGTTAGGCCGACACACGTCAACTTTCAAAATTTTATTTAATCAAATTTTCATTGTACCAATAAAAAATAAAACAAGAACAACATTCTTGGAAGTCATAAAAGTTTGGATTTAAATTATTAAATAGAGAAAATTTGTACTAATTGTTCATGGCTTCCCATTATCTCAACACCTTAGTGGAATAGAATTAACCAAAAAAAATGGAAAAATCTTATTTGAGAGAATCCAAACAAGAAGTCAACATCTTAGTTAAGCTATATAAACACCTAGTTCCTCATATTTAAAACACAAGAAAAAAATAATATAACCATCTAGCCTTAAAATACAAATCTTCTAAATGGGAAGCCAAATGAAGAAGCAATGGCCTCAATTTGCTTGTGCTTTGGCATTTTTCTTGATTGCCACATGCACTATGGCATATTCACCTTATTCTTATGAATCATCAGAGTCAACATACAATAAAGTATCAAGCACACCGGAAAAGGAAGATGAGGTGCCATCTTTACCGAAGAATGATTACTACAAGAAGCCAATAGTTTCAGAACATAACTACAAGAAAGTACCCTCAATTCCTGAACAGGAATACAAGGTGCCCTAAATGCCTAAACAGGAATACGAGTTTCCATCTTTGCCTAAGAACGATTATGACAAGAAGCCATCAATTCCACAAAATAACTACAAAAAGGTGTCATATTTTCCAAAGGTTCCCTCAGTGCCTAAAGAGGAATGCAAGGTGCCTTATGTACCAAAGAATGACTACTACAAGAAACCATCAATTCCAGATGATAACTACAAGAATGTATCATTTGCTCCAGAGGCACCCTCTGAGCCTAAACCAGAATACAAGGTGTCATCTTTGCCAAAAAATGATTACTTTAAGAAACCATCAGTTCCAGAAGATAATTACAACATGGTGTCATCTGTTCCAGAGGTACCCTTAGTACCTAAACAGGAAAACAAGGTG